TTAATCATCATTCATCAACAGAAGAAGGCTTCAACATTTCCGATAGTATCCACTTGAGTGATGTTTAGTCACAATCTAATATTCAACCCACACTTTCTCTAATATAATTAAAGTTTCCTTTTACCTAAAAATTCATAAAAGTATTTTTTCGTGTTCTTGTAAATTTAATTTTTATACGTACTTTAAAAACCTCATAAAATTTCATTCTATAAATTTCTAAGCAAATATACGGTGATGATGATAAGAAACTTGTTCTCAACTCTTACGTGTTAGATTAAAAGGAACTATTATATATTAAAAAATGTTTTTAAAAAAAACTATTATAAAAAAAAAATCATTTTCTGAAATGAACAATAAGAACACTATTAATTACTTTAAACACTTTTGCTTTAAAGTCTAAAGACTGATCTGCTTCGTCAATCTTTTATGCAACTTATTTAATTATTCCTTTGGTTAAAAATGAGAGTATGCGTAACTTTATCGTGGCATTATCGTGGGTTCCTTTTGGAGTTCGGAACCACCTTTTTCGAATCACTCTCTCAGCCATATAAGTGGTTAGGAAAATTTTGTGCATATATATTTATTAAATTCGTTATAATATTGAATGGACAGTATGTTGTAATGTCGAGTTTAAATTGATTAGTGGACCTTACACACAACTGTCACTTACGAGTTCTTTTGGTCATAAACCAAACATATCCACCTTTCTCCATGCAAAAAGTGTCCCATACATGATTTAGTTTTAATTACTTAATATATCTGATCATTTTAGTCAAGATATTAATCGCCATCAGTGAATATATTTTTTTCTTAGATTACATAGTCAAGTTAGGTTTCCTATAAAGTAAATGGCTTATAAGTGTCTTAAGAGAAAAATGGGGTCAATTATATGACTCTTTCTTTTATCTACGTGATCGCTCTACAATCCATAGTATTGTGACTATTGTCTTGGCCTAATATACAATGACATCTTTTTATTCATTTCATCACCGTGTCAATGAAGCCAGTATCATAAGATCATCCTTCGGATTTGATGAATAAAGCATAATTACGCCAAATAACTGATTACTAAACTGACCATTGAGTATTAACTTATCCTGACAAATAATTGAATACTAGAGTTTTTTTGTTCAATGGTTTGTCCAATAAACAAAAAAAATACAGTGGAAGAAAAATGTCCCACTAAGCCGTATTTCATTGAAGGTCAAATTTTAGTGCATTGGAAATATATAATTTAAATTTCTTATTTCACGACGCAATGTACAGATTCTGCATAACACACGTATATAAATATCATATTACACTCATATATAGACGAAGACATCAAAAGATACGTATACATAAGAGATACGCAGATATATATATAAGATTTAATAAGGTATTTAATTATGAAAGTAATATATGGGTGGATAATTAGTGTCACGTGAAAGAGAGAAGTGGAGATGTTTGAGAAGTAAAAGAGATTCGCTAAAAGACTTTTTAAAAAGTGAGAGCGACAGAGCAACTTAGTGAGATGAGTTCCCAACACTTTTGTTTTCTCCTTTATTTCATGTTCATTTTACAGCTCAACTTATATTTTGTCATTGTTCTTTATATTTCAAAAAGACATTTTAATGTAATTAATTAGATTCTGTATCATATATATCTACTCTATATAGTCTATAGCATATGCCGGATCTACGATGCTTTGATTTGATGATTAGTGAAATGCAGACGTTTAGGACTCGGTTACCACAGTTTAAATTTCGGATTCATGCCACGTTTATGTGTATGTTTATTGTACGCCTCAAGTTTGATCCAAATTAAACACGAGTATACCAGTTTTTTTGGTTATAAAACTTTTGATCATCACAAAACATCATCGCTTGGTTCTTTAAGACATGCCCATACCGAATGAACCAAATTAGGGACTTCTCAAAATATCACATTTTTGCTGACTAAAATGGGATGGTTTCTTAAACTAGTTGTATGAAAATGAATTCTTCGTAGCTAAAAAGTTTAGAACTGCTCCTAATTCCTAAACACAAATTCTGCTATTTGACGATGACTTTTAGTCCACTTGCATCTCCAAGTTGTTAACTAATGAAACATTTTTATTGTGCTCGTTTCATCATTTGTAAAAAAATTTAATTAATATTTGCATAATACATGTTCTAGTTTTTTTTTTTTAATAATAAAATAAGAAAAAAGTTTTTAAAAATATTATATTTTCGTTTGGAAACAAAGCATTTTAGATACTTAATATTTCGTTTCGATTATTAAAAATACTATAACATATTTAACCGTCGACACATACTAACGCAAACATGAACATTTTTCCAATTCGATGTCGGCATTATAAGTTCAGATTACCTATTTTTCAACATTTGAAGATTAAGTATAAGTTATTTACGTTCTTTCGTACGTTAAACATTACCTGTACGTAACTTATAGCTCCTAATTATAATACTATTGAGTATTGACTATATGGTAGACGTGAAATGATAAATTTTAAAAGGGAAAGATGGAAAATGTAAAATTTGATTGGGACATTGAAGATACGGAGCCAAAGGGATTTGATTCGAGATCTTCACTATGTCTGCCTAAAAATGGTTACCGTGTGCAGCCACAAGTTTCACGATACTATCCACAAATATGGCAAAATATATTTTTGACCCTTTGAAGTAATTGAAGAGACGAGACGTACCATTTACATCTAGTCTCATGATGGCTTTGAATGGAGGTAGAATTTTTTACATTTTTCTAGATTAATTTCGTAGCGAATAGTTGGACTAAACGAAATGTGTAAATATTGGTTTACTGACATTTCTTTGTCTCTATCTCTTAAGAAGACTTAATAAGTTACTCAAGTTATAAACAAAACGAGTTATTTTTGCAAAAAAGTCTTCTCAATTTTTAAGCTTATAGTTAGTAGAATAAGGCGAAGCAGTATATTCCCATGTATATTACTGAAAAGAACTAACCAGTTGACACTAACTAAAGGATAGAAACAAATAAATAAGAAATTTCTGGTTTTTAAATGAAAATAACTAGTTGACAAAAAACATAGGGGGACTAACCTACGATTACTCTAGCTTCTTCTATATTTACAACAGAAGATCTATAACTGTAATGTTTATGCCAAAAATATACAGCATATTTGGTAGTACTGGTTGTTGTTGTGTTACCAATTACCATCTGAGTTTAAACTTGCATATCTCATGTTCTTGACAAAACAAAAATTATTAAGTTTGAAACTTGGTCAATTTTCAATGTATATATGAAAACTTGTAATTAAAAATATATGTTGACATACTTATATAGTTTGGTCAATCATATAAAAGAACCACACGCCTTTTAAGTTCATAGTATAAAAATAATATAGTAGTAAGAATAAATATGTCTGTTACTTTTGTTTTATGAATGTGAAAACTGTATAAGATTCTCTGAAGCTTTCATCTTGTTACGGATATCAATCATCGCGAAGGGGATCTTGTGTTTTTCCTATATTATGGCTATGTGTTTCTAATAGTGATTTGTTCTTTTTGGTTTCCCCTTTTCATTGTCGACGTGAATTGAGTGTTTGGAGTGTACCCCAATTGAAAGGTTTGGACCAAAGCTAAAACCCAAAGCCTCCATCGACATCACATTTTGGCCAATCATTCTCCGAAAATCTCCAAACTCTTAAAAAATAATAATAATAACAGTGGACTTTTATGATGCTTTTGTGTTGGGATACACATCACATTTTTCCTTCATCCAAATATTCATTTCTATATCCCACCAAAAATGAAAAAAAAAATCTCTTTGCATATGTTGTGTGGTCGAAACTTATTGCCTCATTGGAAGTTTAATGGTATAAGTGATGGGAGTATATATAGTGAGCAAAAGGGTATATATATATAGTGAGCTATTCTGAAAGATAAAAAAAAATATAACTCTATCATCAAATATTTACAAAAGATCTTGCCTAGAAAATAAAAACTAAAGGTCTGAAAACGTCAAACTAATATTATATATCGTAACAAAAAAGAAAAAAAAGAAAAACATGACAAATGGTTTGTCCGAAGCTCTCTCTATTACAAAAGATATTTTATCATTATTTAGGAAAATACATTGAGATGAAACCACTGATTCGTCCTTTGACGAAAGCGATGATTAGTTTTGTTTCTGTAAATAAAAAGATGGCGATTGAATTGTTTGCATAAGCATGGTTTTGTCGCAAACATAGACAATAACGATTCCAAAAGCCCACGTGCCTTGGGACTCGTCTTTATCCTACTGTACACTTCTATCGGTCTCCTATAATTAATCTCCCCATTGATTCGTGGTTCTCTTTTTTTAACTTCAATTTCTGAAACTACTTCCTTCTTCTTTTATTCTTCTCTTTACGCATATGTCTTTTTCAGATATGTACTATAGTCTAGTCGACGGACAGTTGACAAATTTCACTTGGCAGCAGCAAGTGTCGAAATATTTTGTAAGTATGCTTCAGCTAATGGAACCTATCTTCTTATATATTGGGTCATTTTGTACAATGGGTATATTTATGGGCCATCCTTGTTCATTTATATATCTGTATAATCAATTCAACTGTTTACTTTTCTTAATTTAGTTGGGTCGGTTGAGTTGGGCCTTTCTTTATAGGCCCTCTCACAACATTCATTGAAGCTACCACAAGCACAAAGCCTTCGTTATTCATCCATCTTGTAACTCTTATCGGCCGAGTGATGAGAGTGCCGCGTCCACACAGATGTGTTACACCGGACGAATGAAATTATGAACCATTTTGTAATCTCCCAACTTAAACATTATTTTTTCCTCTGTCAAGATGAAGACGGTAAGAGCAAAAGCGTCATTACTTCTATCATTAAGCTTAATTTTCTCTTAATTATGTGATTTCGTAATCTAAAAAGAACACGTGGCATTACAATAATGTTTGTAGATGGATAATATAAAGTCTCTTACTCGTGGAATATTCAGAATCACATCCACTTCTTCTTCCTCTCCTCTCGTTTATTATCCACAACCCAACCCCGAAAAAAAAAACAAACAACCTATCACTTGTTAATACAAACAACGACATGTCAAGTAGAGAAAAAAAAAAAATTTCAAATAAGGATTTAGTTTTTTTTTTCTTTTTTCTTTTACTTACTTCGGTCTGTCTCTTCCCCTGTAATGGCGCTTCCACACATAGTCTCTTCACCCTCTTCAACTTCACTATCTCCATCACCTTCCTTCAAATCCAAGCCACCGTATCACTCCTCTTCCTTCAACCCTAGATTTATATCTCCGTTACGGCGTTGTAAGCTCAGTTCCTCCTTCAGATGTTCATCTTCTTCTTTCTCCGAGAAGCATCACAACGCGAAATCTCCGAAATCCGATGACATCGTCGAGCTACCTCTCTTCCCACTCCCACTCGTTCTCTTCCCCGGAGCTATCCTCCCTCTCCAGATCTTCGAGTTCCGTTACCGTATCCTGATGCACACTCTCCTCCAATCCGATCTCAAGTTCGGCATCGTTTACTCCGACTCCGTCTCCGGATCCGCCGCTGAAGTAGGCTGTGTAGGCGAAGTCGTGAAACACGAGCGCTTAGTTGATGATCGGTTCTTTTTAATCTGCAAAGGTCAAGAACGCTTCCGTGTCACTAATGTCGTCCGTACGAAGCCTTACCTTGTCGGAGAAGTGACGTGGCTTGAAGATCGTCCTTCAGGTGAAGAGAATCTTGATTCGTTAGCGAACGAGGTCGAAGTTTTGATGAAAGAAGTGATTCGGTTGTCGAATAGATTGAACGGGAAGGCTGAGAAGGAAGTGCAAGATCTGAGGAGAAATCAGTTTCCGACGCCGTTCTCGTTCTTTGTCGGAAGTACGTTTGAAGGAGCTCCTAGAGAGCAGCAAGCGTTGCTTGAGCTTGAAGATACCGCAGCTAGGTTAAAGAGAGAAAGAGAGACGTTGAGGAATACACTTAATTACTTGACTGCAGCTTCTGCTGTTAAAGATGTGTTTCCTTCGTCGTCTTAATTAGTGTGTCTTCTTTTACCAACTCTGGTACATAAAAAAATATCTGAATCTCTCTCTTTCTCTCTGTTTCTGCGTTTGCTATATTGAGGTTTGCCAGTAATTGGATATACGAATTTTATAAAAAAACTGCAAAGTTCGGAAAGTGTAATAATTAATTTGTTGTAAATTATGGTGATTTTGGTGGGTATTAGATGATGTTTTGGGAGTTTGATGAGCTTATAGCTGAATTGAGTACAAAAGTGTTGCGCTTCTCTTGAGTTGAAGCCTAGATTAGTCTGAACAAACTGGCTATAAGTAGAAAGAGATGTTCTCATGTTCACTGAATCAGAGAATGTTTACTCTGCTACAACTCATGTAGAGAGACTAATAAGTGTAGTGTTGGTTGTTCTGTATATACCATCATTTACAGTATGTTTATTATATTTTTGTGACAACCTATCTATGATTCTAAGCTTATCCGTTTATTTGCATATTCCTAGCAATGGTACTTTGGTGAGTAGCATTGTATATTTTTAGTGTAGAAATCAAGTGGAAACTTACCAATGGGTTTGAATAAACTGCTTAAGTTATGGATTCCTAAGTGTTCTTGTTTGCGTGATTAGGCACTGGAGTGGAATCAGTTTGATCGTCTGGTTTTCTAAGAATATAAATAACCTGATTAATGTGTATCTATGCCACAGAGTGTTGTCTGGTCATGAGAATATGGAGCCTAGCCCTGTAGTCCATGGTTCACAAAAGTAGGAAGTTGAATAAGTCTATCAATTGTTGTCTTAACTGTTTTACCACAAAGAAAAGGACTAGCAAAACTATAGTATCAAACGTCTGTTTATATGAAATAAAATTAAAGGAAAATAATATCAGATCCTTAAAATTTAAATACTACTTATCGAAGACATTGACCCAGGAATAACAAGGTTTTAACTCATCAAAATCAAGAGATTAAGCTCAGTACTCAAAGTGAAGACATTAAGGTCAATCTTAAAACGAAAAAAAAAAAAAAAAATACCTTGGAAGAATTGAAAAACAAAGATGATTGCTTGCAAAGGTAGGTGTAATTAAAACCAAGTCAAGATTAAAGTCCACTTAAAATTAATCATTTGGTATATACACGCAAACATCATCCAAAACACACAAAACTAATTAAGTACAACACGGATTATCTTCACAAAGACAAATATACAAACGTCTGCCCTGTTCCGACATCTTTAGATATCAGTAACTCACGAGACAGGCTGAGCCGATGCAGAACAAGCCACAAGGTAGCTAAACAAATTATGTTTACCTTGTCCATGTAATTGTATGTATGTTTTGACTTTTTGGAGCATATATGTTTTACCTTTTTAGTCATGCATTAATACCATCCACAATATTGTAAAGTCACGTTGTGGGTTCTTTACAATATTTTATACTTCGGCTACTCATAAACCGTCATGTCATCGACTCTTCACCCATTAAAAGACTCTCTATTGAGAGTCAATACTCTCTAATTAAATTATAAATTGATTTAATTTTTATGTCAACAACATAGAGAACCCATGTTTAAATCCCTGTTGTGGTTGCTCTTAGACATTACATCTGTATTTAGTCTCTATTTTTCTCCTTGCTCCTCTCCCATATCTATTTTTGCCAAAAATAAAAGATAGTAGTTAATAGATTTTTGTTTGAAAATTAAATTGATTTATTTTGTTAACAAAGCTTATAGTTTGATTTCACACTAATCTATCTGAGAAAAAAACTACTTGAAATTGAAAACTATAATATATAATTGAAAAAGAAATTGTTGAGATAATTGAAACCAGGAGCTTTGTACTCATCAGTTGTAAAACATATGAGAAGAGGCCGACTTTTCACGTGTGTCTCGACCACAAATGTTTTGTAAAGAACGAGAAGTAAAAATTCAACTTTGTGTCTTCTCTCGAGGAACCTTCGGGGCCGTACGTTTAGTTTCGTGGACATATAGCCGCCACATGACTGACTCTTTACACTCATACATTACTTGTAAATTTTTATGTTTTTCCACGTGGCAGTTAAAGTAGCTAGAGAATGGGATAACATCAAGCAAAAAAGTATTGGTGCCTTAACGTACGGGGGAGTTTAGGAAAAGAAACCTACGTCTCTTTCTTAATCTTCTTATTAACTGTTACGACTTAGTTAGTTAATATGATTTGTTTGCCAAAAAATTGATATGATATAGCAAGAAAGAACTTGGTGGTTCTATTGGTTCTTATAGTTAGTTTTTTACATTTTTTGAGTTAGCTATTAAATAATGTAACTCCATATTTTCATTTGTAGCTAATTTTAAATCTAAGCTAGGTTTGGTATATAATAAAATAAAAAGCTTGGTGTTCAAAGCGTTCACACGACGAACCCTTAATAGTGATATATTTTTGTATATTTCCCCAATCGTGGATGACCTTATCCATATCTCTCTCTCTTTTCTTTTTCGAAATTCTCAAATAGTCTCTCTCTGCTGGTTTACGATCACTGTTGCCAAAAAGAGAAGGGTCTCTCGAGACAAGTGTTAGGATTACAAACACAACACCAGCTTCCTCCTCGCGACACGACCCTCCGTCATGTCTGCGCCAGCTATATCTTCTCCACGCCACGTTTCATCACTCTGTTCCACTATATATACACACCTACCCAGTAACTCCTGTCTTTGCCTTATCACTCACAAAAAATCTTCACACAACATCACTTTCGAGCTGTCAACATACATCCGTACATGTCCTCCATAGAGCCAAAGGTCATGATGGTTGGTGCTAACAAGAAACAGCGAACTGTCCAAGCTAGTTCGAGGAAAGGCTGCATGAGAGGTAAAGGTGGACCTGACAACGCGTCTTGCACCTACAAAGGTGTTAGACAACGCACTTGGGGAAAATGGGTCGCTGAGATCCGTGAGCCTAACAGAGGAGCTCGTCTTTGGCTCGGTACCTTTGACACCTCCCGGGAAGCTGCGTTGGCTTATGACTCCGCAGCTCGTAAGCTCTATGGTCCTGAGGCTCACCTTAACCTCCCTGAGTCCTTAAGAAGTTACCCTGAAACGGCGTCGTCTCAAGCATCCCAGACGGCACCAAGCAGCAACACCGGTGGAAAAAGCAGCGACTCCGAGTCGCCGTGTTCATCCAACGAGATGTCATTATGTGGAAGAGTGGCAGAGGAGATATCATGGGAGCATATAAATGTGGATTTGCCGGTAATGGATGACTCTTCTATATGGGAAGAAGCTACAATATCGTTAGGGTTTCCATGGGTTAATGAAGGAGATAATGATATTTCTCGGTTTGATACTTGTATTTCCGGTGGCTATTCTAATTGGGATTCCTTTCATTCCCCACTTTGAGGTGTCACTGAACTCTAGTTAATTATCATATACAAACTACATATATATACAAATATAATCACCGTGATGATCTAGGTTTATATATATACACCAGCTCCATGTAATTATATATGTGCACATATATAAATGTCGTTTGTCTGTAGTGTAAAAGCAGATACTTACTTCACCAAGAAACATAGAAACAAAAACGACAGTTGTTTGTCTCAAAGCTAAATATGTGTCATGGGGAAAACGTGAAGTGCAATGTATCTGTATAAAGAAAACGGGATGTTTACGTTGTGTGTAACGGTCAATGTTAAGACCACATATGTCTCTGTTTTCGATGGGCTTTCAGTTTTTGACTATATTGTCTCGTTTGTTGTGTGTTTGCTTCTTATATTTTCCTTTTTCTCTTTACACCTTTACCTTCGTCTTTGTGAGATGTCATATATGTAACCCTCTGAGAATTGTGTACCTCATGGGCAATGTTTATCACATTATATAAACCTGGCCCGTTTATGGTCGGTCCAAAATCTATATATTCAGCCCATTATATATGGTCTCTACCTAATGCCTACTACATATGATTTAAAACCCCTAATGGTTGAGAGCGAAAACCAAATCCTGAATCCACATGTCGACTAAAATGTAAATTCTGGTTTCATATCTCTCTGCCAGATATCAAAAGAAATAAAAAGAAAAGATATATGTGTCTTCGCTTATGTATATGAAGAAATTTTGTTAATCAAATTGTTTATATTAAGAGAAAAGTATATGATATTTTTTGATATACTAGTATATGATATTTGATAAGTAAGAGGAACTATTGTGGAATTATTAATTCGTTCTCTTTGATATAATGCTGTTTTACCAGTCTACGTCGAACGAAATTGTACTATGGGACCAAATTAAATATTCACGTAGAAAAACATAGTTATCTCGAGTCTTTTGAATTTTGAAGACCATGCTAAAAATTATGGACCTTCAGGTTCAGCTCAAAAGTCAAAAGACAATTGGTATATATTTATAAATGGATTGGTCCAAATGTATTATATAATAGTAGGTTTGATTTAATTTTAGATGTGAAGTTATAAAATTTTGGTATTCAACAGTTATATTTTAATGTTTAAAATGTTATTTCATTGGCTCCATTCCGCTAAGTTTGTATGCAAAGCTTTTGTGGATATTTAACAAGTTTGTCTGTTTTAGATTTCTTAAAATATAGAGCACTTTTTTACAATTTTGAAAGATGATTTACTTCAAATTAAGAACAAATCGTTTGATCTTATAATCCTCCGAACTGAATATCCCGACAGTGATAATTTAGTAAAAAAGATCATTAATGCAAATTATAACATTCTATTGATCATGATCGGAAAGTAAGGAAAAGGAAATCATAAGAAAAATGGCACTAATATATCAACCAGATATTATAAATAGAAAAGTCCCAATCCAAAGCTCCCCACATAGTCTGCTTCACCACCATCATCATCATCATCTTCATCCTCATGAACAATGATGTCTCATCCACCATTTTTTTTCTTTTTTCTTCCTTTCTCAAAAACCTTTCTTAGGTAATTAATAATTTAAAAAAGAAGAAGAGAAAACACTAATAATAAAAAAAAAAAAAAAAAAGCAGACACAGCAAAAGTCATAAAACACAACAGCAACACCATTGCTCCCTTTTTAATTGGGTGATGGCATTTGTAATTATTAGCTGTCCAATTTAGTCAAACGTTGTCCGTTGACTGATGGAGTAGTGGAGTTGTGATGGACGACTTGATGGAGTTGCGAGAAACAGGTGCACGTTCGATACCATGCTCCGCGGGTGACTGGATCGTCGCCTTCTCGAGCGCTGCAAATTTCCTCTCTTCGCTCTTACCGTACAATACGAAGTAAAGCCCCGCTATGATCAAGACCGCTCCTATGATCCTGCCATTAGAAAAACCGCCACGTGGTAAAAACTAACGTTTATTTCTCGTTTAGGTCCTTGGAGTAAAATTAAATTTGAAAATAAAACCGCTTGATTTTATTATATTCGTTTGACATACCCGCCCAAGTAAAACTCTTCGCCTAACGCAAGTGAAGCCATGATCGCAACGACAAGAGTCTGAACAGGTTGGTAAACAGCAACGAAGACTGGACCCCCTCTGTCAATACACCAAATCTGAACCGCAAAAGCGATTCCAGACGCTACGATTCCCTGAGATCAACCAAATTCGTAAGGACTAAATATGCCAGTTTGAAACTTCAGGGGTAAAAACAAAATATTTGTAATTTAGATAGATTGAAGAAACGAACGGCATAGAGGATGGTGAAAAGCTCCCAACCGGAGTGGAAAACCCAAGCCTGTGAGTCTCTTTCCATGAAAGCAGCAATGATCAAGAATTGAATGATTCCGAAGAAACATGTGTAAGACGTAACCGAGAGCCTCGCCGGGTAAGATTTAAGAACCGGAGCTTGGAACACGAGCCATCCGGACCACGAGAGACAGTGACCGATTAGGTAGAGGCAGCCAAGTGTCCAGTTCTTGGGCGCGGCATCTCCTAACGGCGCTAATACGGCGGAGGCAGCGGAGTTTGTGGTGAGTAAGTGAGCGTGGAGGTGGCTGGTGGGAGTGTAGATGGTTGGACCATTGTAGAGAGTGATGACGGAAGCTCCGGCGACGCAGAGAGCTGTTCCTAAGACTTTGGAGATACCGTCTCTTCTGTTTAGTCGTACTTTCTCAATCCTGTACACATGAACAGTTTGTTACTACTATGGTTATCACTTATCACTATTTTGTTTGTAATTAAATTAATATGTCATTTAATGTTTGTCTACGTATAAATATTATCTACATATGGTATGTTGACAAGTCAGATGAACATTATTAAAGTGAGATATCCTATCTGTATCATAAGATTTAAATATTATTATTATTATTATTTGGATTCGAGTTAGTATTTAAAATAGAGTAATAAAAAGAGAGATCATGGAGATGGAATTAATCAAAATTACCTGAGAAGAGCAGCCATGAGAAAGGTAATGGCGGGAACAGAGTTTTGCATGGAAGACGCAAATGTTGGTGAAGTGTTTTCGAGTCCCAACAAGTAAAACCCTTGGTTCGCTGTTATTCTGTCGTGTAATAGTTCATTATTAACAAAGTCTATTAATAACTAATCCAGTTTTGTTATTGAAAAGAAGATCAGAGTGAAGGATATTAATTTATATATCTATCTTTGTATACCCGATGAGTGCCAAAAAGAAGAACTGGATGAGAAAGTTGAGAGTAATCGCTGGTCTCTCCTTCCTAAATAACACAATTTAAGTATGGTAATTAAATTACTAACAACTGAACTAAGAAAGAAAAAAATAGGGTTTGTAATAACTAAAGAAGAAGTGAAAAAAATATATAAAAGGTTACTTTTCGAGGAAGTAAGCGAAGGGAAGGAGAAGAAGCAAGGCGATGATGTTACGATAAACAGGGAAGACGAGTTTACTGATGCCCATGTTGAGAGCAGCTCGAGACACCACGTGGAACCCGGCGTAACCGAATTGCAAAGTTAGCATAGCTATGTGAAGCTGAAGCTTCTCCGGGACTCCCCATATCGATCTCCGGTTATCGTTGTTATCCGCCATTGGATACGAACTGAGACAACGGAGAAGGAGAGAATGATCACTGTGTTTTGATATCTGTGTGTGTGTTGATTGAGGAAAAAGAGTGGAGATGAGGAGATATAAATATAGGTAGATAGCTATCTCATTCTCCCGTCTTTGCTTGTGGGGAACCACCAAGCTTGAGATTTCTAATATGGTTGCTCTATTAAACCTAATTATAACAATGTGAAAAAGAAATGTATTGAAAATAATTGTATGGATTTAGGTACATTTATGTTTTTGTTGTTGTTTCCGATCCTTTTTTATGTACATACAAAATTTGTTATTTTGGTATAATGGCAACATCCCACTCCTTGATTATGAATTATGACATGGATTTGGGAAAAATTAAAATTTTGATTTATATTATTATTTGCTATTGGTTATATATCGTTAAGTGTGATAAAATAGGTTAATTTTCGTTATTCTGTGTTTTACTATATATTATTGTATCCATTATAATTTGGCCGAAAAAACACATTTCAGGAAAATTCTTTAAAAAAGAAACAACTTTAATAGTTTGACCTAATTTATGTAAGTAAAACTGTTGAGATGTTAAAGTAAAACAATCGTGTTTTTGGACATCTAGATTTAAGAAACCTCAAGAATTGAAAAATTATCGTGCACTATTTGGCATAGCCTTCAATTTTGGTTTTGGAAATATATATAGTCCGGTCAAACTTATAATGCCAACATCATCACAAATTCACAGTTACCGTTTTCAGTTTGTCAAACCCTTTTTTTTGTAAATATAATTTGAAGAAAATTCGGCGGTTCCAAATTCTAAACCGTTCATAAAGTGGCAACGTCTCACTTTATAAGTTACATATGCACTTTGTAAAGAAAAATATGGTCTGAAATCACAAATTTTGAAGACATTTCAACAAATAACAAACATATATGCCAAAGTTTTAGATGTTATGTTTAACATTTTTGTTTCGTAAAATGCTGAATTGGTAAGTTACTCATATGCGTCCTCAAATGTCTAAAACAGCCAACCTTAATTGTAAAACAAATCTAATCACCCACTAAATGTTAGTATAAAAAACAAACTAAATTGATTTTAAACTCGAGGAAAACGACCATATATAATGAAGCTGTTAATTAATGTAAAGTTGATTAAATTAAAACTAAATCAAAGGCCCCGCAATAATATATATTTAACAGTGTACGTACTATTGTTTTACATAGAAAAATAAAAAGAAGAGAGCTTAAAATTTGTGTAAAGGGCAAAGGCTGTCTCCCACATTCTTTTTTCTTATGCTGTTTTAGCTGACATGACAACCCTCACGCCACTACTCATTAACCCAACCATCATCATTATGGTTTCTTAATTTTTTCTTCCATTTATCTAAATATCATTTCAATCTGAAGAAGAATAAAAAATGGCACTACTACCATAATAAGTTAGATAGAAATTAAAAAGCATGCACAAAATATATATATATTTATATGATCATTATTTACACTGTATTTTACCTCAATATGATGAACTCACTATATCTTTAGACATTATAATGGTTTTAGTTTGTCCTTTCCTTTTGATATTTATTTGGGAAGCAGCATGGCATTGCCACTAATTATTACTTGTACAGTAGTCTCCAGGAGATTTAACAATCTTATAACAGTACTCCTAAATTCCCTTTTAATGTTTTTTTTTTTACTTTTCTTTTATTGTAAAATATTTTTCTAAGAAAATACTTATATATATATATTATGATAAAGAATTAATTTTTGTAGGGACGATCCCCACGCGCACTAGCGAATCGTGAGACCCACAGTACCTCTTATTTCGCAGGCACACCCACACGATCAATATTTATGTACACGCTTACACACCAATATTATTATCTGTATTTGTCCTCAATTATTTTTTTCTTTACTTCTATTTCCCTTTGTGCTCTCGATATATCTAGCCATCTAGGTGTGTGTGTGTGTATTACTTTACTAGTATTAATTTCTAAACTCCAAATACATTTTGTATCCATATAGAATAGAATCATCGAAAATTCGGATGGTTGCTTTGTATGTTTTCATTTTTCTCTTTCTTTTTTGTTTTGTTATCTTTGGTTTGGAGAGATCGACAATGTATACACGTACACAGAGACACTGTTTAGTAAAGTGTGTTCAGAAACATGTGCACTTCCACGTGAAATCTAACCTAATATGTATTTTTTTTCCTTCCCCCTTCAACGTATATATAATTATATTATGACTAAAAAAATTGTTCGTGGAATTTCATTTCACAAAAACTGTTTTCGGATGTACAAATATATAACGTTCATTTATTTATTATATTTTCCTTGTTGTAATTGTTTAAGAACAATAACAAAGGTATTTACCTTATAATACGTATAGTTAAATATATATATATATATATATATATATATATATATATACATTAACGTTACGTTTGATATTATATACATTAATTGCACTATTTTATAAAGATCTATAGAATTCTAACATGATCATGATGAACCTAAACTAAAGTTTTGTATCCTTATTTCTTGACATAAATTCCATACAAATCATAATTAAGTTGAAAATTTCCTTGTATACCACTAAAAGTTTTGTTCATTTTTTTTTGTGAGCATTTTTAGAATTTTAGAAATCGTCTGTACAAGAGTAAAATTATAATAAAAAAATATTTGATAATAAGTATTTGTAGTCGTAGGCTCGTAGCTTCAAACAGGTTCAATAAATGCATAAAATCATATCCCGTCTTTTTAAAAAAAATTCCTAAAAAGGGGACTTGTTTTTGGGGTAGTCTAAAAATAGCATATTTTCCGCTTAATTAATAGTAATATTACAACATATACCAAATTTTAAACAACAACCTTTTTTAAAAAAATTACATACTTGTAGAATAGATTTTTACAAAAAAAAAAGTTGTTGAAATCACTTTATTTAGTTTTGAAGTATTCTTAAGAGTTAAGAACACGTACAAAAACTGAAGAAAATAGTATATATGTGGTGAAACCCTTGGCCGTGCAAGTGGCACACGTATTCTCAAGTCTCAACCGTATCAATAATGCCATTTGTCGGGAAGAGACCCTATAGGCCATCTTTAATATGGGGATCTTTAAAAGAATTCAGATTAAATTTTGATTTAACTAAATACAAAATAAGGTTAATTGATAAGATATGTATCTTATATAAAATACAAAATATTGTGCTAAAATACTTTTTTTAATTATAATACTAAATTAATCATAAGATTTATATTTAAGATACTTGCAATAATGATGTTCTTTAGACCCTTACATTAACTATACGGCAATTTTCAAATCTAAAATACATAAGTTTCAAATTTGCAAAGAGGTCTTAGCATGAATCTTTCTTTCATTTATGCAGAGTGAAGGTTTTGATTTAGGAGATGACATGTATATATATGGTACCGAATCAGAAGGCATCAATTAGTGAAGAAGATCCCAACACATTCTATATTTTCTATCTTTTTTACCACAGTCATTAATAAAGCCGTCATAAGAACATTACTTTGGTATAAGTTTATATATGTCCATCATAAGATCTATAGCCTAGCTTCATGATTTATATATACTAGTATAATTTTAGGTAGTTTTTATATCATTCTCAAATGATGATTCGTTGTTACCTATGCGAAACAATTAAGCTAGCATTGAACTCATAAATAAGTGTCAAATTTTGACTCAAAATTGCATAACACGAAACATAATAATTTTTTTAATAGATGATAGTAAGATGAAAGTATCTTTTGGTTTGTTTCTTAATGAAGAATACTAGTGTGAAAGATCACTAAACATCATTTGCTATAAAAGGACTCATGGTATAGACGGAAGGGTTTTCTATTAATTAGCATAATTTCCGGAACTAGTGCTTAAAAAAGTGTTAATTATATACAAATTGATGGAATTAATTAGCATTGTTCGTCTTTGTGACAGCCCGAAGATAAACCCTTGTTTAGTTAAAAAAAAAAAGGAAGAAAACAAATCCCTCTATAGGTTGAAAAAGAAGAAAATAGAAACACTTTTACTCTTTAGTATAAAGTTTAATGGATCTTTAAGTCTCTCGGGTAAAGGATGAAGAAACGGGTCGGGTAAAGGACCCAGCAAGACAGTAACGGATCGGGTAAGGACTAAGGACCCATCAAGCTAGACAGTAACCGGTAACGAGCAGACGAAGAAGAAGAGCGAGGGAGACCAATCTTAGTTGGGATATTTAATTGCCTTGTCTCCTTTTTTCCTCACTTTATTTCATTTCTTTATCATTTTTGCTCGCCCACGAGCGAATCTTCTTGTCTCCGTCCTCTCTCTCTCCTCTTCTCACTCCTCTTTTGAATTTTAGTTTTAGCAAACAAAGATTTGTTAGCTTTTAACCTAGATTTTTAATTATAAGAATGATATTACTTTTAGAGATTTTTGCGAAGATCAATGCATACATTTGGAGTCACTATATATATATATATATAGTATGACCAAGTTATAACTTCGATTCTTATTGTCTCGCTAATTATCTTGCATTAGGCTGTGATCATCAGTCATAATCAACAAAATATAAAACGTTCCGACTGATTGTCTGAAGAACGTAGACACGGTTCTGCAAGACTGGAACATATTTAATGACTGTGTACACCGCCATAACTGTAGTGGTTCAGTTCACATGCAATTCAATGAATTAATGGTGTCAACTTTTAAGATAGATAGACTATGCATGTAAAGCATTCATCCGATGCTTTGATTGATGTTTAATACAAGAGTGTCCTTAGATTCGTTTGTGGATTGTGATGATAAGTGGATGTCACTAAGGAGACACCTTGACGTACGACAACACTATAAGGACGAGACAAGTATGACCCTTCAACATATTATTATAAGACTAATGCCACTTTACCCACTGACGTTATTTCAATACGTTTATTAGTAGAAACAGCTCTCTCTCTCTCTCTCTTTTCTCTTGATTTCGGTTCTAAGAACTATGGGGTTTGGCGATCTGAACGTTTCAATCTTGGGGTAAAAAGCTAACACTACTAACTAGCGGGAAACTATATTAAGCATTTTTTGTTGGAGTCTAAAGTCTAAACTGATTTTTCAATTTCGTTTGCAGATGAAAAAAATAAAGGAAAGTGACTTAAAAACAGAAAAAGGAGCCAATTGGTTTTGTGTCAACTAATGAGCAGATATATTTGCATCTGACGACCTATTATTACGTGTTGTAGCTAGACTCACAATAATATACGAAAATTAAGCAAATTTACACGATGAGGCCATAATATTTCTACACTTTTTTTGTTTGTTACAAATGATTTCTCAAAAACTTAATTTTATTAGAAAAATCACGAAAAACTTATACTCAATTATCTTGGAAAAAAATGTTAATACTGTTTTGTTCATATTTTTTTTTTTTTTTAAAAAATATGTTAACGAAAATATTATTTGGAATTTTATTTTTTAGGCAATTAGGTGTTTCTGCAACTATTTTGTGGGTTGGCTTTTTGCATGCGAGGTCTTCTATATGTCCAATTTGGACAGTCCAAACATATACTGACTTTTTATATTTTCTTTGTTTTTATTCATCTCGATTGCTTTTGTTTGGCATGCATGCATAACTTAATTATGAGAAATTTCAACCCATCCACTTATATATTTTTGACAGGAAATTTGGTGGGATTTCTTAGTTAGAGATAGTCCGACATGATTAAACTACTGATATAATATGTCATAATTTAATTTCTTCTGTATAACACCATATTTCCACCTTAAACATGATTGTTTTTGTCTCTTACTTTTCTCAAGTCACGCTTCTGTGATCCATAAGCTATTTCAGTGAACACAAAACTCACCTTAATTGAGTTCTCATAACTTTTAAAATCATGAATTTATTTTCTATTTCTCAACTTCTTTTTTATGTGTTCAGGTGAACATATATAGTTGTAAAAAACATGTGCAGAACATTTTTTTTTTTTATAAAGATTAACAGTTATAGGCTTATAGCAAACAAAGGTAATGAATGAACAAAACTACAAAATACATTTACATGTCTTCATTGCTATCTTCCTCTGCTTTTATTCTTCGTTCACTTCTGTGATTTGGTCAAAAAAACAAAGAGAAATTGTAATCTTTTCAACATTTGCAATCACAGGCTCCATCAATAAAAGGAAAGAAAAAGATTTTGCTAACAGTTAAAGTAATAATGATGATTCCTAAACTTTGCATGCTTTTTTCACTGTTTTCGTCTCGTAAAAAATATAAGGGTTCCCTATTATATATGATACGATCTTAGCCTATAATTAAAAAGATCCGATCTAATGAAACTTTGTTTAAATGATCAAAAAGGTATATTGTTTATGTAAAAGTAGATAGGGATTCTGTATCTTTTAAAACCAAATTTTCTAATCAAATTATATTTCGACTTGCGCCTAAGAGACAATGAGCAAAAACTGAAAACAAATTTAGAAAGTGGGTGTGTTGATCGAGTTTCATAGTGTCTACATACATATATTATCTCCCTCCTATTATATGTAGATTCGCTTGAGTATCTAAATTTAGCATATGCATCTATCTCCATCTAATTTCTAAAACAGTAACAACCTTGCCATGCGCGAGTTCTAATATTATGTTACATATATTTGATGAATTTGTGTCCTAATATAATATCCAAAAAATCCTATATTACATATGAAAGAAAATGTGGTGTCATTATATTCTTCTGATACGTTCAACACTTACGTGATCGAAACATTTGAAATGAGTATATACACAGTTAGAGGAGAAGTCAAAATGCAAACATGATTAGTATGTCTGCCACAAACCAAAGGTGGGAAGTACATTACCATTTATATTGTTGTCTTTTCCATTAATATCCATCATCCCAATCTACGACTCTAATGTAAAACAACTTGGAATCTTCAGAGAGGATATTTCGGACGCAGATTATAGGAGAAAATGAGGTCGTTTACAAATGCTCAATCACCCTCATGTTCAAGCAGTGGAAGACATTGACGTCTCAGTCTCTTTGGACAAGACTTTTGTGTTCGTTATATGTTTACATCCAACCAAACCGCCACATGATTTTGTAATTTTGTTATATGTCATTAACAAAACACTTACTTTTTATATTTGTCTCTTTGAATTTATAATACAAAAACAAACGATTGACAAATTGAGAACCTTCTTTTTTCCTCTCTGCTAAAATCTTTTTTACCTCCATCAATATGACTCCGGGTTTATAACAATGTTACGACTAAGGCACATATATATAGGATTGATTTTACTGCCCCCCTGTGTCATCTTCAGCACTTTTCTTGTACTCAGGTTTGAGCTCATATGTCCCTTGGTTCGATCCTCTCTTATTGTACACGCACAGCTCGTTCAATATTTCTTTCAGAAACTGCGCTGGTTGGTCCGTCTCTTGTACAAGCTGTTTCAGCGTCCAGTTAGGTTGGCCTTCAAATAGCTTGAACATTATAGCTTCAAGCTCACCACGATCTCTTCTCGTCCTCTTCACCTCGGTTTGCTTGACTGGGGCAGGTTTTTTCTTTTCCTGATCATTCAAACACAAACACAGACTTCTACACTGGTAAGGCTGATAGGTGAAAGGAAAGATGAAGACGGAAGATTAAAGTTTTAAATCATTAGTTGAAGTATCCATCCTGAATCGTATTTACTTTGACGAAAGAATGAGCATTGAAGCTGAATAGTTGCTTTACTACTATTTACAATCTTAATGATTACTTCATATTTGCAGAATCACTGAGAAGATAATAGTGAGTAGCATTTTACCTTTGAATTGGATGAAACTAAACCAAGCATTCCAGGCATGGGCCTCATATGTACTCCGCGGTCATTATCGATAACCTAAGAGGAGTCCATATATAATTAGCTAAACAAAGAGCTAGGAGAATTAAAGGAAAACAAATCCCTGAATGTGCAACTAGATACCTGTATCTGTCGATTTTTAACCATGGCTTTGCTCGTTCTCTCCCGACAAAGCCTTGCATATTCTTCAATGTCTTCGCCATATGGCTTCATATCGAATTTGTGATCTACCATTCCTTCAACAGCTGGATAAACTAGAGAAGCATGCCTAGTATGAGATGAAAAGCAAACGAAGAGACAAATCTGATGTTATCAATCAGACAGGTAAAACCAAAATAGGGAAATCACCTTGATTGACATCCGAAAAGGCATTCATGGGAACAAAGTCTTTGAACATGTTCAAAGCGTAGCTCTTTGGCATGTTCCCAAACTCAGCACCATTCATCTCCATAGTGAACTGATTGAAACCAGTACAAGGAAATAAGTTGCAAGAAACAAAGAACAAAATACAACACTAGAGAAGGATCCTTCCCTAAGCTAGATTTGATAACCAAACCACATGGGCAGTGAAATTGGCATGAAAAATTAAAACTTTGATGACACTAGAGACCACAGCCATTGAAATAAGTTGAAAGAGGAACAAATAGCACTCAACAGAAGGGTCTTTCCCTAAGCTAGATTCAAAAATCAACCACATGGGTAATGAAATTGGCATGAAAAAATCAAACTTTGTGACCACAACCATCGAAATATGAAGGGACAACATACATGAACATCCAGTTTCGTGAGATGCCTACTCAATCGCCTAACTAGGGTCTCACCTCAAATACAAGAACTTGAGAATCAAAATGGAACATGTAACCAAAATATACCTCAGGCGAAGAAGAATTATCTTCTAGAAGATCAATGCCAAGAACAACCTTCGCTAAGTCATTAGATTCTGGAGAAGCAGAATAAACAGAAGAAGAATAAGAAGAAGTCGAAGGAGCTAGCTTCCCCCACGCCTTGTTGACGACTACAGGGCACTTCATCAACCAAATCAGGCGATCGGATTTCTCCAAATCGAGTTCATGAGGGTTACTTCGGTCGTCTTCCATATCGTTACTCCAACTCTCTTCTCCAATTCAATCCTCTTCTCGCGGTTTCTTCTGAGCTCTGATCTTAACTCTGTTTCGGATTTGTGTTTAATATTGGTCGTTTTGACTTAACCCTAACTTAAGTCTTCTCTTACTTTGAAGCGGAGGTGAAAAACACACAGACACCCGACCCGTTTACTAAGTACCCGGACCGACTTTGGCGCTGAAATAATTGGGCCTTGGCCCATATATTTTCGCAAAAGTCTGACCCCTAGTTTTTAAATGGGTCTTTAGCATAATTTTCCGTAGAGCTATGGTTTTCTTAGATTCATTTGTGAACCCTTGAATTCATCGTTTCTTCAAGAGGTATACAAGAATGGTGTTATTTCTTGACCGAAACAAAAGAAAAAAAAAAGTATTCGTAAACATGACATGATTGATAGGCGTATATGTATGTACATACTGCATACATAAAGCATGCATGGATGGATGTTGTATGTCTTATATGAATGGATAGTGGGGATAGTCATACAGATTTGTTTGGACCACATAGTGCTGATAAAAACACCAAGGTTGTTGACAAAAAAGGAAACAAAATACCCAAGTTAGAAATGGATGACGACGATGACAAAGAAGTAACTATTCTCGGAAAGTTCTTAACTAAATCTATGAGAAACCCTAACCACTCAGTTACTACTTCATGTACATTGCACAAAAGGGGGACCAATCCCTCATCTTTAAGTATGTATGTATATATCATTTTGGTTTATGGCCGCCGAATTAGGATTTTATGTTTGTTTGATATAGTTTTAGAGTATTAAATATTTACGTATTGCCAAAAAAAAAGTTTCTAATAACTTGGGGAAAAAACTAAAGTTGGTTGGTAAGAAAACTGTTCCTTATCAATTTGCGAATTTTGTTCACATGGTCACTATTTTAACGACGCGTTTGAAGATCTATGTGGTTTTTGTAAAAGGGAGTTGAGGTAAAGAAAAGAAGAGAAACTGTCATATCAATCATAATCGAGTTAGGTAATAAGTATGTAACAGATGTTTAGTTTTCTCACTTTGACCACCGTAGACTACTCTTTACAGTTTTCACAATGATGTGTCGAGTCTTGGACTGTCTTCTTGATGCTAATTTCTTAACACATTCATTTCCCTTTTTTCCAACGTAATTAATAAACAATTTACTCACTAAACTATCCTTTCAAACTTTCAGGAAAGCTATTAGTTATTTCAAACTTAACCTACCGTATTTTTAATGGGCAGTTAATGACAATGCCAAACATTTGACCTGTGAGGATGACTAAGTACTTACTTACACAATTGGAACCACATGCACGTCATCAGTACGTAATAATGCTACCAAAAAAAAAAAAAACTACGGTATAAAATAGTTAACATTAGTTACAATAAATTGATAACCAGAGGGCAGGTATTTCCAAAGAAGAACCATATATAGGCTAATCCTATGAGGCTGTACGTAGGGCTTTTGCGAAACAGATTAAGTAAAATATCAGAGGAGATGATCATGATTTTTGGATATCAACTATACATTTATTTTTTGATCGACAGAGAATGAATCACATGTCGTGAGTCAGACACTCTACAGTTTTTGAGAAACTTCCATCTTTCTCCTCTGTCATTTTTACTTGTCCTAAATCAAGCAATCTATAACAGTACCAGCTAATCATTATTATTGTTAATAGTACCAGTTCATATATACATAAAAACAAATTATTAATTATCATTTCATAAGAATAAACAGAAATCGTTTTCAGTTTATTCAGAATATAAAGTCTCTATCAGTCATTTGTAAACAGACAGCATCGACCAGTATTTATACTAAAAATTAAATCGTAGGAAAAAATTATTAAATGGGGATTAGCTACAGACGAAATGATAGTCACATCCATGCAAGTAAAAATCAATTAGTTAGCTAAAAATTATGATAGTTCTGCAGGGAAGTAGTTTTGATATAAATGCTCTATATTATCATCCGTTTACACATTCACATGATACTCACAATTTGACGTTCTCCAAATAATTAAACCTTAACGTCCTAATATGGAATGGCACGATATATATTATCTAAAGTAAAAACCATACTACAGGGTCCTATGTGAAAATACCTACGCAATTTTTTGGCTTCAAGCCTTCAACTAGGGAACTATCTCAAACCAAACTAAATTAAAAGTAAATGCATAAATATGATTTAATGCCGCCCAGGACCATTATTTTAACTAAACTTTTTCCATATTTTCAGAGATGTTTTTGGTTATATATTTCAATTGAGACAGATACACACACTTCTTCATTTTTCTCGGTTCTCTCTCTAGGATTCCTCCCCAGACCACCCTCTTTTGGGCTTAAGACCTTCTCTTGCAACTAGTGTGTTTCATTAGGTTTGAAGAGAACATAAGACCGGAAAAACTCTTTCCCCCTAGCCGATTTACTCCTGTTTACTTGCTGTTTTAACCCTTTTAGCTTGAATTTGAGAGGCTTCCTAGGGTTTCTGCTTAGTTCTTCTTCTGTTCTTGAGCCAAGTTTCCGTATCTCAGATCTGTTCGGTCCGGAGTTCTCGCTTTGTGTTCCTGTTGAGTTCTGTGGTTACTTTTTCGACTCGGTTGGTGCTATTGGTGCCCTTTCTGGGTTTCGCAGTTCGTCATCATGTCTTCAGCCATGGATAAAGCTCTTATGGCGATGTCCCTACAAGAAGAAGAAGAGGTTCCCTTTGAGATGCCAGATCTGCCAGAGTTTAACTCCATGGAGCGTAACTCTCTAAGCTTGATTGGGCGTACTCTGAATCCTCCGTGTCAGCCTATGAAGAACCTTATTCGTGACATGCCTCGGAAATGGCAGAAGCCGGGGAGGATGAGGGGAGTAGCATTATCAAATGAGAAGTTTCAATTTATTTTCAATTCTGAACATGACCTTTTGGAGGTTTTAGCAAAGGGTACTCACACCTATAATGATTGGTCTCTGGCCGTTGATCGTTGGTATGAAGATCCGCCGGTGAACTACTTACAGGTCATTCCTATCTGGGTCCAAATTTGGAATATGCCTGTGAACTATTATACTGTGAGCGCCATCACAGTACTGGGAGAGTTGATTGGTGAAGTAAAGGAAGTAGCTTTTGACCCAGACAAACCGCAAGAGCAAGAGTTTGTCAGGGTTAAAGTTCTGTTTGATGTTTCGCGTCCACTAAGAAGATCTAAGGAAGTCAAGCTCCCTAAGGGTGGTTCCACTTGGATCCGTTTTCAGTACGAGCGGGTTCAGAAGAGATGTTACGAGTGCCAGAGGTTAACACATGAGAAAGATGTTTGTCCTATTCTAGTGAAAAAGAGACAAGATGAAGCTTCAGCTCGTCGTTCTGGCTCAAGTACCCCCAAGCAGCCGAAACCTGTTTTTCTTAAAGAGTCTGATCCCTTGTTTGGTATCCTGAAGGAAAATCAAGTGGGGCTGGATCCTCTAACAGGTAGACACAGGATTGCTCCAGAGGTTTTAGATGGAATGAGACAATACTTACTAGTAAACAATAATGAAGACTGGCATGTCAAGGCTGATCGAATTCAGAAATCAATCAAGGAGGTAGAGAAAGATCCCATTGCTCAGAAAACTATTCTGAGAATGGAAGAGGCCCCAATTGTCCACTTGGACATTAATACTGAGAATGGTCTGGTTTTTGGATTTGAAAATTCTGGAGTCAATGATCTAAGAGAAAAACTTTCCGGGAATGTGGTATCTTCATCCAAGAATGATGTGAGGTCAGAAACCAATAGGAATTGGTTAGTGGAAGATGAGTCTCTGTATGAGTCTGATCCGGTGGGTTCTTTCTTAGCTTTATCGCAGCCTTTTCAGGTTAGAGCTACGGAGTTTAGTTCTGGCTTCTATGAAGCTGGTTCTTCCGGCTCTAAGCCTAAAAAAGCTAAGCAAAGAAAGAGGCCGCCTTCTCGGGTGAGAAAACCAAAGCCTAAAGGTGGGGCTACCCCTGTAGAGGATAAGATGCTGCAGTTGGATTTGACACGAACCTTGAAGGATAAACGAAAAGCAGAAGATGGAGGACCAAGCACTGCAAAACTCTCAAAGCTTAACCCTCTTAAGGTGATCCCACATGAGGGATCGCCCAATGTTTAAATGAGCATCATCAGTTGGAATTGTCAAGGCTTGGGACGGTCTCAAGACTTGGTGATTCCGTGTCTCAAGGAATTGCGTAAAAAAACACTTCCCTGAGATTCTGTTCTTGATAGAGACGATGCAGTGTAGAAATAATCTGTTTGATATTCAGTGTCTTTTGGGTTATGACAGACTATTCACAGTAGATCCAGTTGGGAAATGTGGTGGACTAGCTGTCTTTTGGAAGAGTAGTATTCAGTTGGACATTCTCTTTTATGATAAGAATTTGATTGATGCTCAAGTACAGTTTGGGGCGTCCAACTTTTTCTTATCCTTGGTTTATGGTGATCTGGACGGTAGTAAAAGAAATGCGGTGTGGGAAAGACTCAGTAGATGTGGGGCTGGAAGAAGAGACAGATGGTGTATGATGGGCGATTTTAATGCCATCATACATAATGGTGAGAAGATTGGAGGTCCCAGAAGATGTGAGAACTTTTTCAAACCTTTCTCGGACATGTTGGATAGTTGTGGGATGATGGAGCTATCTAGTAGCGGAAATATGTTCACATGGGCTGGTAGAAGAGGAGAACATTGGATTCAATGCAGACTTGATAGAAGTTTTGGAAACAAGGACTGGTTTGATTCCTTCCCGGCTTCAAATCAATCCTTCTTGGATATGCGAGGGTCGGATCATAGGCCAGTTTTGCTTAAACTTTTGACTTCCCAGGATGCTTATAGGGGTCAGTTTCGGTTTGATAAAAGGTTTCTTCGAAAACCAGATGTCAAGATGGCTATTCTAAGGGCTTGGAAACCAGGAATCATTGCTGGGGGGTTCAGGGTTTCTCAAAGACTTAGAGATTGCAGGAAAGCCTTAAGTTCTTGGAAGAAAAAGAATCAGATGAACTCAAGAGATAAAATTAAACAATTCGAAATAGTCCTGGAGAGAATTCAATCTGAAAGATGGCCTAACTTGCAACAGATCCGAGTCCTAAAGAGAGAATTGGCAAAGGCCTACAGAGAAGAAGAAGAGTATTGGAGCCAGAGAAGCCGGAAAAAATGGCTTAGAGTTGGAAACAGAAACTCGAAGTTCTTCCATGGCTCTGTTAAAGGGAATAGAAGTAGAAAAAGGATTGAGCATCTCCGTGGGACTGATGGGATGTTGAGAAAATCCGAGGCAGCCAAGGGCCAGGTAGCAGTTGACTACTTTGAAAAGCTTTTTAAATATTCAAACCCTCAAAGTTTTCAACACTGGTTCTCTGAATTTCCTGCTTTAATATCTGGGGAAATGAACTCAAGACTTATTGAGAGAGTCACAGCTGAGGAAGTTAAAGATGCAGTGTTTGCTATCCAGGGATCTAGTGCTCCTGGACCTGATGGAATGACGGCTCTTTTCTTCCAAAACTACTGGAGTGTAGTAGGTCTTCAAGTAACTAAAGAGATACAAGATTTCTTTGAAGGAGGAATTTTTCCAGCCGAGTGGAACTACACCCATCTATGCCTTTTGCCTAAAACTCATCATCCCATGGAGATGGGTGATCTGCGGCCTATAAGTCTTTGCTCAGTCCTTTACAAGGTCATTTCAAAGATCTTAGTGAACATGCTTCAAGTGTTGCTTCCTCAGATTGTTTCTATTAATCAGACAGCCTTTGTCTCTGAGAGGTTGATCTCTGATAATATTCTGGTGGCACATGAGGCTGTTCACAATTTGAAATCCCATCCGGATATCTCTGCTCAGTTTATGGCGGTTAAGACTGACATGTCCAAAGCTTACGATAGAGTTGAATGGTGTTATCTCAGAGCCTTACTCATTGCAATGGGATTTCATTTAAGATGGGTGGAGTGGATTATGGCTTGTATTAGCACAGTTACCTTCTCGGTGTTAATTAATGATCAGCCCTATGGAATGATTACACCACAGAGAGGACTAAGACAAGGAGATCCCTTATCCCCTTTTCTCTTTGTCTTATGCACTGAAGGTCTCACTCATCTGCTGAACAAGGGACAGGCTGAAGGAAAGATCAATGGTATCACTTTTTCTGAAAATGGTCCTGAAGTACATCATCTTTTGTTTGCGGACGACAGTTTGTTTATGTGCAAAGTGACTTTGGATCAGTGTTGTTTCCTTCAAGAAACCTTGGTCAAATATGGGAAAGCTACTGGGCAAACGGTTAATCTCAATAAATCTTCCATCACTTTTGGGTCAAGGGTAACTAATCTGATAAAAACCGAGATTCAGAAGAAGATGGGGATTACAAAAGAGGGTGGAGCTGGTACTTATCTTGGTATGCCAGAATGCTTTTCTGGTTCTAAAGTGGATCTTCTGAGCTATATCAAGGATAGAGTGAAAGCTAAAACTTCTGGTTGGTTTAACAAATTCCTTTCTCAGGGTGGGAAAGAGGTGCTCCTTAAATCAGTGGCCTTGGCTATGCCGGTTTTTGTCATGTCTTGTTTCAAGATGCCAAAAACTACTTGTGATACTCTAGCTAGTGTGATGGCTCAGTTCTGGTGGAACAATGCTGAGCATTCTAGAAAGATTCATTGGCAAAGTTGGGAAAAACTTTGTTTGCCGAAAGATGAAGGAGGAATGGGTTTTCGTGATATCCAAACCTTCAACCAGGCGTTGTTAGCTAAGCAAGCGTGGAGAATTCTACAATATCCGGGATGTCTATTTGCTAAAGTCATTAAAAGCAGATACTTTCCTTTCTCTGATTTCTTGAATGCTACACTGGGAGTTAGACCATCTTTTGGTTGGAGGAGTATATTGCATGGAAGAGATCTTTTGATCCAAGGTCTAACAAAGAACATAGGGAATGGCAAATCTTTCAAGGTCTGGATTGATCATTGGGTGGATGAGGGGATGAGAGCTCCCTACAGGAGAAATAATTTTTTCAATCCAGATCTTAGGATCTATGAATTGTTAGATTCTGAGACAAGAGATTGGAATCATGAAGCCCTGGAATTCCATTTCTTGCCTCAAGACATCATCAGAATAAAAAAGCTAAGGCCGGTAATTGATCTTGAGGACTTTTACACTTGGAAATTTGACAAGAGTGGGGATTTTTCGGTTAAGTCTGCTTACTGGTTAGCCTCTCTCTCAGCAAACCAGCCAACCAGAATTGAGGCGAATATTCAACCTTCCACTAATATCTTAAAGGCTCAGGTTTGAGACTTGCAAACTGACCCTAAGATTAAAGTTTTTCTTTGGAAAGCTCTTAGTGGAGCTCTCCCGGTGGCTTTGGCGCTTAACAAGAGAGGAATGAGTATGGATATTACTTGTCAGATCTGCGGTGTTGAGGATGAATCAGTAAACCATGTCTTTTTTACGTGTTCTTTAGCAAGGCAAATCTGGGCTCTCTCAGGGATTCCCTCCCCAGAAGCAGGCTTTTAAAGTGGCTCAGTTTATTCTAATATTCATTATCTTCTCTTGAATATCAAGAACAAACGGTGGCCTGAAGAGCTAAGGAAATCTTTCCCCTGGATTCTATGGAGAGTTTGGAAGAATAGAAATCAAATCTCCTTTGAAGCTAGGTGTTTTTCCCCCTTAGAGATTGCCAATAAAAGCAATGAGGACTGGAAAGAATGGTGTGATGCACAGAAAATGGAGGAGGAGGATGAGCAGGATGGGGGTAATGTAGAGATTGTCGCTGCTCAGTCCAGGGAAGTAAGAGGCGACCGGACTAGACGAGTTTGGAGCCCTCCACCTCTTGGCTGGGTAAAATGCAACATAGGAGTATCTTGGTCCAGTAGGAATGGCTTGGCCGGGGTAGCTTGGGTTCTAAGAGATGCAAGTGGGGAGGTTTTGCTTCACAGTAGGAGAGCTCTGAATAATGTATCAGACAGGTTTGATGCTCACTTCAAAGGACTGTTGTGGGCCATCGATAGCATGAAAAGTCACAGAGTCCAAAGGGTGATCTTTGGGTTGCAAGAGGAGAGGTTAGTGAAGCTTGTCACTAGACCGGTGGAGTGGCCTTCGTTTCGATATCAATCAATGGAGGTTCTTCGTTTTAAAAGTTCTTTTAATGGGTGGAAATTCTTTTTGGAAAACTCTCTTTCAAACAGAGGTGCCTTTCTTGTTGCGCAAAGTGTCACTAGTGATTGTCGTCTACAGTCTTATGTGGCGTCGGGGCATCCACGATGGCTTGATTCTCTCTTTGCTGAGGAAAGTGTTAATGTCTCTGATTGAAGGAGAGTTTTTGGGGTAAAGATAGCTAGTCTTAGAGCTCTTTGCATATGCCAGTTCACGTTTGAATTTAGGGCGTAAGTAGGGTAGGAGATTTTTTGGAGTTAGTCATATATATGGCTTCTAACTACTGACTTTGTGTCATGTATGTGTTGTATGGTACGTTTATCTTCTCTTATCAATATAATACCAGTTGACAAAAAAAAAAAAAAAAAAATTCAATTGAGAATTTCTTTTAATTACATCTTTTACTCTGGAGAAGTTTGCTTAAAATATGTTTATTTTTCAAATCTATGAAGTATGATCGGTGGAACACGAAACCTAGTTAAGTCATGTTTAGATCCGGCAAGCAAACGGATAAACGGGAAAAAAGCAGCTTGGAGCTCAACACCAACCAGAAAGCTAATTCAGTATCAAACCCAAATATATGTTTATTAATTGTTTTTCTAATAGAGAAAATAAAGATTTTTTTCAATTGACCTTGAAAAGATACTGTATATATGACGTAGATCAATGAAAAGAGGGGTTAATTATTACTTAATATCATAATAGTCCAACGAAACCACATTTTAATTGCAACAATCCTATATAATATTGAACATTAAAAAAAAGTTTGTTGAAACTATAGATCGAATAACCACAAGAGGAAACTGAGAAAGTGCAATAAGTACCAAACAATAAAGGAAAAAAGATCAAACTTTGAAATTAGAACATTAATTTAACCCCTCATGGATCGTTTTTTTCTTAAAACGTACGTACAATGTGCATGTTAATCACCACCAAGTAACAACCTAGCTAAGGGTGTTTTATCAAATTGCACGAGATTTCAAAAAGACAAAGACGAGTACAAAAGACAACAACAACAAAAAGAAAGTCTCTCATTATTATAACGTTTAAGCTTATATAACAATAATCAATACCTGATCCGAATCTCAAGACCTTGGAGGTGTGAAGAATGACGTACCGGCGATGAAGGAGTTGAGTTGAGCCGGGTAAAGCGAAGAAGGATCAAGCATTAATCCGTTACTATTGTTACCGGCCACCGTTTTCGTGGCGGTCTCCTCCACGTTGGTGGTGGTTGCAGTGGAAGCAAGGAGGTTAAGGTGATGATGATGATGATCTTGATCTGGTCCTTGGTCATAGAGAATGCCTTTGAAGACATGTCCTCCAATGTTTACAGCCGTCTGGTAAGCATACTCTTGATCATCTTCATCCTCTTCTATTGAGCTCACTCGAACACACCGGAAAACTGCCGGTGAGTTAACCTCCGGTGGCAAGTGTTGGCTCACCTCCAACCCTAAAATGATCATATATAAGAATAACAAAAAAAATAAACATAAGATTTGTTTTTAGTTTCTTTAAATAACTTGTTCTTGATTATAAAGCGTAATTCCCATCACCTATGTAATAAAAAGAACGAATCTTTAAGTATTTATTGCATTGTGTTTACATGAAATCGATCTTGAATAAACCCTTTTATGTCGTCAGGTTTACTAAGGAACAGTAACTTGTATAAATAAAGCAGCAATATCCGGCGGACATCCTCATTCACACGCAAATGATGTTGTACTTCTCCACAAACATTCATAATTAAAACTTTGACACTTTTTCATGAAAATTCAATCAATCTTGAAAGCTAATTCAATTCTAAAAAAACACACACCATGATCGAATTTTACCTGAATTAGAATTAGTATTCACCACACGAGTATTAGCAAGAGCCGATCCACCACCACCACTATGGTCCTTATCATCATTATTATTATTATCACCACCACTAGCTTCTCGAAGGCGTTTAGTGTTTTGCGTTTCACGGCTGGAGGTAGAGTGGTGCTGCAACGAAGCGAGTTGGGCTAGACGCTCACGGCGTTTAGCAGCAGGAACCCAAGTGCTCTTAACGTGAGTTTGACAGTGAAAGCCTCGGCTTTTACAACAAGTTCTACATCTCATATGAGGACAATCTTTCTTAGCTTGATTCCCACAATCTTGACAATTCATACCTCCTTGTCTCGTCACCGTGAACCCTCCCGGCTCATGATCGGAGACTACGTTGAAGTATAAACTCCGGCTGCGGCTATTGTTGTTGTTGCTGCTGCTTCCGCTAGGAACCATTCCAAAGGAGTAGAAGTTCGCAGGAGCTGAGGCATGTTGTTGCTGTTGTGGTTGTTCTTGTTGTTGGAAGTATTGCGGAGGCCAAATCTCGAAACCCTTGTTGTTGTTATAGATCTCGTCTTTGTAAAGATAAAGATAGTTCTTGTCTTGATGATGATCTTGCTTGCTGTTGTTGTCTCTCCCTCCTAGATAAAAGAATCCTGCCATTTTTTTCCCTAGTGATAAACCACATCACACACACAACACACCACAAAGAGAGAAACAAAGAAAAGGGCAAATCTTGATTTGATTTTCCTTTTCTTTGCTTTGAGATATATTGATGGTATAAAAGATGAGGAAAGATTAGGAAACTGCAAACGCCGCCATGGAATTAGTCTCTCTTCATCATTTAAGACAAAACACAATTTTGATCTCTGAAAGTGGAAGTTTGCTGGATTTACTCAGTGGTTCAAGAGAGAGAGAGAGAGAAAGAGAAAAGGTTTTTAAGACATAGAGAGTCCCATGAAGATCTTTTGCTTTGGGCACTTCACTACAGTTATCTTCCAGTTTGAACGAATCCCCATCACATAAATATCACTCACAATATTGTTTAAAAGAAAGAGAGAAAAAAAAAAAGAATATGGATAAATAGAGAGATATAGGTGACATTATTTTAAGTAATTTTTCTTAGAGTAATCATTCCATTCCATTCCATTAATACCGTAATACGTATACTTATTCTCTACATTTTATTCATCCGTATATATATTTATTCATAATCCCTTATTACACAATCTAAAATACATGCAAGATGCTGATGATGGAAACTAAATGACGCTTTTTTTTCTTTACTATATATAGAACTCTCGTAATTATGTATATACTCAATAGTTTTACGATTCAAGACAGTATGAATGAAATTATGGTCTTATACTAAAACTATTCGTATCGGAATTAAAATTAAAATAATGATTTATATTCATTTGAACAAAATATTGTAGTTCTATTCTGTTAATCAAAGAAACAAACTTTGATAAGTTATATATTTAACTCATAGTGTTAGTTTTTTTAAATATATCAATGGTAATTACAGTGCCACGTGTTAGAACAGGGAGTTCTAACTCCACTCGCCCCTCCCCCGCGAAACCCTCCCCACCGTTTGTTTTATCTTTTCTTTCTCATTTCAATTTGTTTTTCTTTGTGATGCATGAAACCATACATTAAAGGGAAGTCTGAGAAAACAAAAAAAGAAAAGAAAAAAAAAAGTTTGAGAAAAAGGAAAAGATAAATGAAGTCTGAGGAAAAAAAAGGAAAGACTAACGTCACATTGCTTTGACATTTTATCGTCACGGACAGGTCTCATCGTGAAGGCTTACCGCTTAATCACGGCGATTAGACCTTCATTGACATAACTTTTTCAACGACGCCTACGTGCGGTAATTTCATTTTTTTTTTGTTTTATTCGTCTAAACAGTACTACTACGTGGCATTAATATTGAATTACTTCTTTTTTTTTTTTAATTCATCCATATTTTGTTTTCAGCTTAAAATGGAAATAAAAACTCATAAATGTGTTAACGAGAGGAATCGTAAAACTAACACTTTTTTTGAATATGAACTATAAAGAAAAATACGTGCTATATATGTTTAGGGATTTGTTTTGGCTGGACAGCGATCCCTAGTCTAGGTCTAGGTCACGAGTCATTATTATTAGCCGATGAAGGTATGTGATCTTCTTCCATCTTTACCCAAACTAATACCATGAATATGATGTATTCTTTTCTGTATTTAGAAATCTTTAGTAGCTCATTCAATTACAAAGTTGAAAAACTTAGCTTTCACGTTAATACTTCCAACATTTTGGAAAATGTATAAGTACAAAGGATATGAGGGTTATTTAGTTCTTCTCTACAAATTAAAATTTTGCCTATGCATAATTCATCAATATATAAGATGTGCACACACATGATGTAAACAATAGACATGACAATGTTAAGAGTAAAACCGTTAGTGGTTTATCTGAAAACAAGCTACCATTAAATACACCTCTTAATTAATTAAAGATATTATACGAGTACGTAATTGGTTATATATACACATTCTATGAGTTTAAAAAAATTTAAGATTTACTTATTCAGTCATACCTTTGTACCATCGTTAGAGCCGAAGCAAGCAGACCCACTCTAGTGTCTCTGGTCACGTGGAACCGCGTGAATTAGCGGCGCAATTTGCATTTGATAATGATAGTTTAGCGCATTTGGTATTACTATATTAAATGCTTTAAATTTTTTTTATGTATTTTTGATGGTTGGCATTTTAAATTACATATCCTATATAGTATTGTTCATGTATAATCAATATACAGTATATGGTTTGTCCTTTTTCAACGTTTGTAATCGACGACCAACCCACATACTTAAAACTCTCCATAGTACTCGCATTAGTTCGGATCACATTGATCCTTATTGATGTCATCTCGTCAAATCTTATGACTATATTGTAATTTGCTGAAAAATCAAGAGTCTGGACCCAATAGTCTAAATTCTACAAAGTAGACCCACTCGGTGATGGATAATTCATGCCAGAATTGAACATTATAGATGATGTATTGTTAAATCATAATAATAGTCATTTTATTTGTTAAATGTAGTTATAAATATTTTATATATTAAACCAGCTATATTTGATCAATATTTGTTAAAAATTAGTATAAATCTTTTTGAATCTTTCTTCCACTTTGTCTTGCCAATCGTTGACGAATTCTCATGCATGTTCATAATAAGCAGGTCACGAGATTGAGATTTGACTTCTCAATTCTCATAGCTAGATTTGATCAAATCTTCGGTATCCACTGGCCAATTAATACACAACCAATTTCACAAGATAAAGATATTACCTATATACCTGCGTAGCGTAGTAATCCTCGAACATGAAGTATGCAAGTTGTAAGGATTTGCGTATTTGCTTTTGTTTTAGTGAGAAAATACGAGCATGCTTTTTTTACGAACGGAGCAGTTACTTCGAAATCTTGGTTGCAAAATAATTTTGTTCACTTTAGAAAAAAAAGAAAAAGAAGAAGCATATTTATTGGATTCGGAGAAACAAAAGTAGAAGGAGAAGACGATGTGAGTTTTCTTGGAAGGTTGTTTAGAGCTTTTACCAAAAATCACTAAGGGCAACATTATTGGTGGGATCTTAGAGGCTAAGATCCCCCAGTTTTTACAAAGAAAAAATCTTATATAAGATCTTTTCTTTGCAAAAACCGAGGGATCTTAGCTTATAAGATCCCATTGATAATGTTGGTCTAAGTTGTCCATGTAAAGGGAATTTAAATGATTTTAATTTGTTTTGAAGTCTCTTCGGATCTTTGTGTTCACTTTGCCGAATCACCTCTACCATCAAAATTGATGACAAAGAAAAAGATGGGGAAAGAAAATCAATATTAAAAATGCGTTAGTAACACACAAAAAGAAAACAAAAACACAATCTAGAAAAAGGAAAAAAATCCTTAACATACGACTAAAATTTGTTAAGCCCCTACTCACTAAACACAATTTTTTGCAATTTTTTTTTTACTTGAAACAATTATATGTGTGCAACGTATGTATCTATAGAAAGTTTGATATCGTACGTATTGTATCAGTTACCCACAAAAAATTGATTTGATCTTCTTGTATTTAGGGGCCCGAGACATGAGTCCTATCGTATTTTACAATTTCTTGTTGACTAAAATCACTATTTTGTCTTTATTTGTAATTGTAATTACTTAATACGATCGAGTATTATTTAATAGAAAACCAAAGAGCTCCTAACTTTGATGAGTGATGACTCGGGATCTTCATGATTAAACTAGTCGCCTAATGTCCCTTTTGTCTTTCTTCTTTGCTTTATTTTTCCTTTCGCTAACATTATTAAGTTATTCTTCTTTTCTTTTCGTTTTTCTTTTTACAGTTTGATAGGGTTAATATATAGCTAGCACTAGTTTACCACTTATTGGTGGATGATATTTTTCTTAGGAGGCGGACATATCGTGGAGACGGACATAACTCACTCACGTTTGATATAGATGCATGTTTTCCAATTGTCTCTAAATTTATGTTATTTTATTTAAATCAAGAAACAACAAAAAACAATGCTATGTGTGTGTAGTCATGCGTAGACGATGAGGTTATACAACATGTTCAAATGATTAACATTGTCATCCAACATTCTTCTTTCTTTCTATAAACACCACAAAAACTATCATTTGTTTTTTAAAGGATACACCCAATGTGTTTACTTTGATTTATAAACAAGAATGTGTACACTTTACCGAGAGTAGGCTTCAGTCCACCGTAAAACTAATACAGGTTTACTCAGCCATAAATCTTAGTGAAGATCGGAAAACTAATATCTAATATCAGACTGATCGTGCATTGTAATGGTTATCAGAGGTGATCTAATTAGATGTTATTGTTTTACAATTTTTCAGCTGAAGTATTTAAACATGTTACATAGTTCATCAACCTTACAAAAAGGATGTTTTAATCAATTTTTTTTTTTTGTAAAGATTCTGATACCTCCTACAAGTCAGACAGAGAGTGAGGGAGAAAAGGTCATCGTAGGGAAAAAATCAAGAATAAGGATTAGCTCCAATAGTCCAATTATTATTATGTTGTTGTCTTTCACTCTCGAGCCTTGTGCTCACACCTTTCTTCTCGCTGCATCTATCTATCTATCTCTCTCCTCTCTCTTTATATATATGCTAGTCAATCATTCTTCTCACTAACAGTATTTTCCCGACAATCTTCTCGATGATTATATCTATTATCATACGTTTGGTTTAAAAAATTTTAAAATCCAAATGTTCGGATTTGGTATCATATATTTAGAGAACGATATAAAAGTATGAAAAATAAATGCGCACAAAATCTATAACAGTTTACTTTTAATGTGAGATAATGCACATTCACGACGATCAAAATTTAAAGATTTACAATTTTGTCTATTCGTTTGTCTAGAACAAACAAAAGCTATATGAAATTAACGAAAGATGAAACTTTAGAGAAAAACGAATATACATGCCTGATATATTTAGCTAGTCATGCTAATACGTTATTAGAGATTCTTCACAACGTTAGCAAATATATAGCCTCTACAACTGAAAATTAAACCGAATAACATTTGATACTAATACTAATAGCACAACTACTCTTAAACTCGACTAATACTCTAAATATATGCGATAGTAAGATATTCGTTTATATGGAAACGATATTTAACTCACAGAAATTTACGTTTTTCACATGGTTGTGCCACTTTAACACTTTTTACCAAAAAAACACTTCTTAAACAATCAATATAGAGGGGATTACTATTAGGAAAATAATATTTTTGATCCATTATGCCATTGTGACAATCATTTTTTGCTTAAAGTTAAGTTACATAACTATGCTCTTTCCGCGAGAAACGGGTTTTGTCTTGTTGAAGAAAAAGGAAGGAAGTGACGCAAAGCGTCTTCCTAAAGCTAAGATATTCGATTTACTGCGTTGAGCATAAACTTTATATCCTAAATAATATAAACACATTTTACAAACTACATGCAATCAATACTTTGAATATAGACCAGTTTCTTGTTCTTACAATGGCCGCTCTACGATCCTACTACTACGTACGAACGTACATTACGTATCGAAATCCGCGTGCATTCACCCACTTCATACGATTATCCCATCGTATATATGTATAAAAAGAAACAAAGTAAGGTGATGTGACTGTAACCGTGGTGGGATACATGACAAGTTAAGTATAATAAGGAAGTCTAATTCTGAAACCCTAGGCGACGAACACTGCATGCCAATAGTAGAAACAGTACGTACGATCACGAGATCAAACTTATATAAATACGTACTTTGCTTTCTTAGGATCCCTCCACTTGTAGGCACTAGCCCCTCGCCACGTGGTCCCCCTCCATTAGCTTTATGGTATGGGCCTCATAAAGCCCGTGGGGCCCGTCTTCACATCCCATGCACATGCTTCACAATAAGCTCTCTCTAGCCTAATGTTTCAATGTGTATATATAAATACTAATGTTCGATAAGCATCTAATCTAAGTCGTCGTATATAAAGAGAAAAACGTATAATATAATAGGCCTATATATGCCTTTTAAGGAGAAGACCGGCCGAAGAAAAGACAGCGTTGTGGTCTCCACGAAGGTTACAAAGACTCATTGTCACGTGACCACCACCATTTCTTCACAAGCCTTATTCTATAGTATATGTTTATATTATCTACATATTATATAGCTCGCATGCATAATTATGTTTAATTTATAGAATTTACTATTCAGATATCTTTTATTATAAGATATGTAGACTTTTCACGAATCTGATAGCACTACCATAGTCGGTCAGTTTCAGTAGAAGTAAGTGAGTTGGATTTGTTGCATGGAATCTATTTCGGGCTAAGTTACATTGGTAATATCTTGATGGGCCAGATTAAAAGCCCATTAAGTTTATAACAAGAAACCATAACGTAATAGGAGAAGACTATGAGTTTTTAATTAGCTGAAAATACGGTAAGTTTTAGAGAACTAAGATTCTGTGCCGATTCTTAGCAAAATAGTATTTTCCTTTCTACACAGATTTTATATAGTCGGCTTAATAGAAGAAGCTTCGCGTCTCTAATGGCGTTTCAATGGTTACCTGAAGATGACTTCTTTCTCAGAAAAGCACTCGAGGTTTACCCTCTTTTTCACGAAACCCTAATTTTGATTTTTAATTTTATAAACTTCTCGATTTCTCGATTTTTCTACTTTTTGTATGTTTGTATTTTTGTTCTCGTACGAGTACGAGATGTTGTTGAATCTCGTACTGAAACCCCAGAGCGTTTAAGGCTCTTCTCTGTTTGATGATTGACAAACTTGTGTCCCAAGTCATAAAACTCTTTCTTGATCGAGACTTGATTGTATTGATATCCTTATGATTGTCCTGTTTACTAATCCTTGACAATACAAATTTTTGATTGTATAATAGGATGGAACGTCTCTAGAGACGCTAGCTAAAGGAGCGGTGAGATTCTCTCGGAAATTTACACTTTCGGAACTTAAAGATCGATGGCATTGTCTTCTTTACAATCCCAAGGTTACATCTCTATCTTCTTCTGTCGGATTTGAGATCCAATACGAAGCTCAACTCATTCCGCAAGGTCACTATCATCACTCAATACCAGTCAGAAATCAGTACTACACTGCGCGGAAGAAGAGGCGTTTGGAGTTGGAGGAGTCTCTTAAGCTCAATAACAATGCCATCAATGAGCATCCTTATGAAGGTGAAGGGTTTATGTTTGGTGAAGATGATGATTTTAACTTCGAGCTTGAGGACATTGAACTTTTTCAGAGAACTTTCCCTGACATTATGCTATCCCCTCACGATGATGATTTTCATACAACATTGTTTGGTAATGATGATGATGATAACCGAATGGTGGATCAGATGTTAAACATCAGCGATGAACAGATTCAAGACTGTGATGTTACACAAGCAGCAACATCAGTAGACCATGTTATGCTTCAAGAAGTGTTTCAAGATCCTCTGTTCCAACAACCTAATACATCTTTTAACGAGGCTACATCACAGTCACATGAGCAAGCAGTCTCTGATCGTCCTGGGGCTATTCCATTGTGTGAATTGGATCCACATCCAGAAATCATTAACGGTGTTATCATATGTGTTCTAAACTGTGAGTCCAGTGAGATTCCAGATAACGATGATATCAACCTGCAACTGTACAATCCTAAAGCTCGAAACTCGGTTAATCCTTCAACATCATCGAGGAAGCATATGAAACCACCTCTGCCTCCAGTCAAGAGACAAGATTCTCTCGATGACAGGTGATATAACCTTATTCATCGTAATAATAAACATAATAGTGCTTTTTTTTTTGATTGGAGAGTTTAATAAAAGTGTGAGTTTGATTGGTTGGATTTCAATGGAACCAGGCTCTAATCAAGTTGAAGCAAGACGAATGTTTTGAAATGAAAAATTTTGGTAAGTTTTCGATATAGATGAACGATGAAGAAATTGAACATGGAGAAGTTGTCACTCTCAAGAACAGTTGCTTAATCCAGGTAAAATTAGTTTTCATTTAGTTCACTTATATATGTATCAATGTTAATGATCAAATAACCGAAACTGATGATATGTTATTTCTTTTTGTAGATACGAGAGAAGTCGTTCATATTCGAGAGGAATGCGAAAGCAGTGGGGAGATATTTAAATCGAATTTCAAATGAGAACATACATATATGACTAGGATGTAGCTAAAGAGTTTCATTATGGTATATGATGATCAAAACTTTAACACGTCAGTTTGGTATCTTTTATCGTTGTTTTCTTATACAGTATATAGCATTAGTCATAGTCATATGTGAAATGGTCAAATAAACAGTGACATAAAAAAAAAAAAAAAAAAAGAGGAGAGAAAAACATATAAATCTGAATCAATTCGATGAGGTGAATTGATGCAAAAGCATGGCCAGTGAAGTGGAGATTTTGAGAGATGCTGATTGATTTGGCCATTTTTTTTGTTTTTGATGTAAATATACAAAACCTCCCCAACCCCTTTTATTTTAGATATTTTTTCCTATGAGGGAAGTAAAGATATTATCCAACGTGTTATATTAGACGATATATTTTTTAGTTTTGTTTGAATTATTAGTGCCATTATAATAACTATAAATTAATACAAGTGCACCCAAGATGCTAATTAATTATATTACGACTATTCTCTTTTGTTTTGTTCTTTTTGAGTACTTCTTGTATTATAGAATAATTCATAGTGGAAAAAAAATTATAATTGACATAAGATTTTGAGTGCTAATTAAATGTTAAGTGTTTTTCATATAATGAATTATCAAACCATGTTGACAATACACTAAACAATATACATATTAAAACACACTATGTATTATCGTTATATATCTATATTGTATAGTGTGAAAATTAATTTTGTTTCTATATATTTTTTCAAATAATGTTGTTGGGGGCATATTCATATACGTTACTTAAATTAATGAAAACTCTCAATACAGTGGTCCAAGAAAATCATTAAATTCGTTTAATAGAGAACGTAAAATAAATCGTGAGGTTTCGATATTGTGCTCCCCCGCCCACCTTCTGCCCATTCAGATCCAACTAATACCCTTTTATTTTATTCGGCCAACTATATAAATAGTTTTTTTTTGGTCGAGAAATATATAAATACCTTTAACTACAAATATAATAGTTTCTGTTATCGAATTACTGTGAATTATTTTGACAAAAGAGAATAATTAAAACGTAATATATAGAGTTACTTCTAACGAAAGTAAAACAAACAAAGAGTGTTTTTTAGATATGTTTTTCAGCCTTGAAATTTTTAGTTTGTAGTTAAGGGTTTTGGAAAATATGATATCTAATATTTTTTTGTTTGTTTTACTTTCGTTAGAAGTAACTCTATATCTAATATGTGAATATCAGTATTCGTTTTCTTTCGAAATGGGGATATCACCCAAGCTAACCATTAATGCCATTTGGAAGCAAAGGAATAATCTTCTTCACAATCACTGGGTTTCAAGAAATTGATGGATCTTTGGATCAGATGAACTACTATTTTTATGAACGTTTGCTTCTTTGTTTTTTTTTTATCTAATTTTTGCCAAGAAACAAGGAAATTGGTTTAGCTATATAAAGCCATCATGTTCATTTATATGATATTTACAATCTTAGCAAAAAAAAAAATAAAAAAAAATTAAGAGAGAAGCATGAAAAATCTATTATTGCTAATGCTCGCGACATCTCATATGTGTAAGGATACTTGCTCTGTCTCCAGCCGCTGAAGTGGCCTAATCGAAGTCTTAAGCGTGGAGCTTCGAAACAACAACGTACGAGAGAGACACTACGACGAAACTAACCACGTATTGTCCCTCTTTCTTTTTTGCATCACTTCTTGACTTCTTCTTCTTCTTTTTTTGTCTTGACTTCTTCTTCTTGTAACTCTTTTTTTTTTTTTGGGATATGAAAGAAGTCTTGTTTATAGAGAATAGAGAACTGTATTGTTGTGTATTGAATATGATCGTAGTACAGCATGTATATATACATAGAAGAGGAGATCTAAACTATCAATATACAGAAGATATATTCTATGGAATATAATAGAATACAATCTTAACTAGATATATGTACTTATCTCCTATACGCCCCCGCAAGATGAGCGACCGTTAGAGAGCCCAATCTTGAAATTCAAAAACTCATGTTGCGGTTGTGGGAGTGGCTTGGTGAGAGCATCAGCAAGTTGATCTTCAGCAGGAACATGAGTAACACGAAGAAACTTTGATTCAACTAGTTGACGTACAAAATGATAGTCAATAGCCACATGCTTCATACGTGAATGAAAAATCGGATTAGCGGCGAGATAGGTAGCACCCACATTGTCACAGTATATCACCGGTTGAGCAGACGGAGAGAGCCCTATCTCTTTCATCAAGTAAACCACCCAACATAGTTCGGATGCAGTATCAGCAACGGACTTGTACTCAGCTTCCGTCGAGGATCTAGCAACAGTTTTCTGCTTTTTAGATGACCAAACAATGGGATGAGAGCCGAGGTAAACAATGTAGGCACCAGTTGATACATATGTATCTTGATCTTTACCCCAAGACGCATCAGAAAAAGCATGGAGATTCCGGTTATTATTTCGGCGAAGAAAAATACCATGATCCCGAGTGCCCGATAAGTAACGCAATACCCGTTTAACAGCCTGCCAGTGAACATCAGTGGGACGATGCATGAACTGGGAGAGTTTGTTGACGGCAAATGCTACATCGGGGCGTGTAAAATGGAGATACTGCAAACTGCCCACAACAGTCCGATACTAGCTTCCATCAGGCAGAGGAGAACCGGAGTTGAGATGCAGATTGCAATTTGCAGACAGAGGAGTAGAGACAGGATTGGCGTCTAGCATACTGGTACGAGCAAGAAGGTCTGTGATATACTTTTGCTGCGTAAGAAGTAGTCCTGTTGGTGTGCGTTTGACCTCAATACCAAGGAAGTAGCTGAGAGCACCCATGTCTTTAAGGGAGAAGCGTTGACCGAAGCTAGTGATGAAGCGCTCAATGGCATTGGAGTTATTGCCTGTGACCACAATATCGTCAACATACACAAGCACAAGAAGTATAACACAAGGGCGAAGCAAAATAAAGAGCGAAGCATCACAAAGAGAGTTGGTAAAGCCGGACTGAAGAAGAAAAGTGCGGAGCTCTTTGTACCAAGCGCGAGGAGCCTGCTTGAGACCGTAAAGAGCTTTGTTGAGCTTGCAAACATAGTCGGGTTTGTCTCGGTCAACAAAACCAGAGGGTTGGGCGATGTAAACATCCTCAGTGAGCTTACCCTGCAAGAAGGCGTTGTTAACGTCGAGCTGGCGAAGATCCCAACCTCGATCAACAGCTTGGCCGAGAACAAGACGAACAGTTGCTGCTTTAACCACAGGGCTAAACGTCTCTGTGTAATCGACACCCGGACGTTGGTGAAAACCTTTGGCCACAAATCGAGCTTTAAACTTGTCAATATCACCATTAGGGAGCCGTTTGATCCGAAAGACCCACTTCGTGCCAACAAGGTTGTACGACGGATCCGGGGGAACAAGATCCCATGTCTGAAACTTCACTTGGGCATCAATTTCGGACCGCATTGCCTTCCTCCACCTATCATCTTTCAGGGCGTGTGCGACAGATGTTGGTTCGGTCTCACGAGCAGACGCAGCTAACATCGCGAGTTTGGGGTTTGGTTTCACGATGTTGTTTTTGGATCGGGTGACCATCGGATGTGTGTTCGTCGGTGATGAGGAGGAAGAAGGAACTGCAGCTGAGACGGGCTCCGAAATTGGAATTGGATAGTTGGGCTCCGGATTTGGGCCGCTGTGTTGATTCTGTTCAGGAGATGGGCCTGTGGCAGGCCCAGAAGCAGAGATGTCACCAGGGGTTGAATTCGGCCCAGAAGGAGAAGCAGTGACTGTGGCTGACGGAGTGATGTCATTTGCAGCAGCTGAAGATTCCGGTGATGAGGGCGAAGGATCACAGCCTAGGGGCGACTGTACTGTCGACGACGGAGAAGATTGGCGAGAGAGCTGAAACATGGAAGGGAACCAAAGAGAAGATTGAGGAGCTGATGGTTTTATGGTGTGGAGATTGCTAAAGGGAAAAGAAGATTCATGGAATTCAACATGACGGGAGATGTAAACACGTTTGGTGGAAGGATCAAGACAGAGATATGCACTTTGTGTCTGAGAATAACCAAGAAAAACACAGGGGGCAGAGCGAGCGTCAAGCTTATGATGGGTATAGGGGCGAAGCCAAGGATAGCAGAGACAACCAAAAACTCTCAGTTTGGTGTAATTTGGTGTGAGTTGAAAGAGACATTCAAAAGGAGAGGAATTGGCAAGAGTAGAGGTTGGCATTCGGTTTATCAAGTAGGCAGCAGCAGTGAGAGCATAGCTCCAATAGGACATAGGAATGGATGCGTGAAAAAGAAGGGCAAGGCCCGTTTCAACAAGATGACGGTGTCGTCTTTCCGAAAAACCATTGTGTTGGGGTGTGTGAGGAGGAGAAGTGAGATGTGAAATCCCGTTATCGGCTAGGTATTTGGCTAAGGCAATATATTCCCCACCATTATCAGAATATAGAGTAATGAGCTTGGTGTGAAGTTTATTTTCGACGAGGTTTTTAAAGCGAGTGAACGTTTCAAGAACATCGGATTTGCGACGGAGAGGGTAAAGCCAAATGTAATGGGTGAAATGATCGACGAAAATGACAAATGACGAAAATAACAAGTTCTAGAGGTTTTGTACATGATTATCCATACGTGAAGGTCGGTGATGGTTTCCCATACGTACCGGCGAGTGTGGTCCAGGCTTTGTGAGTTGTCTCACATGTGGCGATGAGCGGCTGCAGCGGTGTGTCAATGGTGCCCATGAGAGCACTGTAGAGGAGATTGTCCTGGCGCTGCCAAGCGAGGAAGGACGGGTTCGGCACGTCGACGCCGTTGTCCTTGGTTGTTGGTGGTGGAGGCGAGGTGTCTTCAATGAATTTGACGAGATCGTAGCCCTTTAATAAGGACTTGACCTGAATGCTCCAAGTGAGGTAGTTGGTTGGGCCAAGTTTGGTGATGTTCACCATGTTGAGAGCAGTGAGCGGAGATTGTGGATCTGCGGGATTGGTGAGACTGGTAGAACCAGAAGGGGGAGGGCTCGCCATTGAAAAAAAAAACGAAAAGAGGATATGTTGTTGTTTTAACAAAGGAGCTCTGATACCATATAGATAATAGAGAACTGTATTGTTGTGTATTGAATATGATCGTAGTACAGCATGTATATATACATAGAAGAGGAGATCTAAACTATCAATATACAGGAGAGATATTCTATGGAATATAGTAGAATACAATCTTAACTAGATATATGTACTTATCTCCTATATTGTTGTCTGTTGAAATTAATATCAATACAATGAAATGATGAATGAATATATTTGACATCACGAAAACACCTAACATCACCTAGTTCTTTTGATTTATTAACATCATCATCCAGCCTTTCCAATATTGATAACAACAAACAATTTGGATTAATCAGAAAAGGAAAAAGAAAAATAATGGTATTGACCCAATAATATTGTTATGCCGTGAGCTTATGATATTTAAATGCATTTTTGGCCATGATTATCCACTTGCCAAAAATAAACATGAGAACTTTGAGGATCGGACCCATTTGTTCCCTAGCTCACATCACTAGGTTACAACTATTCTACTAAAAGTAATCTTGCGTTAGACGCTGTTCACATAGTTGCTTGTATTATATTGATAATGACTTTGATTAATTTATAATGCTGTCACAAAATCAAAATCTCACACTGCTGCACTACTACATGATCTCCTTCCAAAATATCTCTCTAGCATATAGCAGAAAAGGTTAAGGCCTAATACAAGTTATTCTAATTTACTGATTTGTTAATAATTTCTTAGCAATTAGATTATCTGAACTAGTAGTTTAAACTGTCATTTAGTCAGGGGGAGACATTACAAAATATCAGTTTCGAACACATCTTTGTGTGTGTTTTCTTTTGAACAAAATCTTTTTATGTGTGGTTAAATTCTCAGTTTCGAGCATGAAAATGATAACAAAAAGATCCAAAAATAACTAGAGGATTAAATCTCTTGACTAGTTATATCTTTCTCCCTTATTAGAACCTGCTTGTTTGCATGATCTCCTACTCTTTTTACTTTCAAAAACTATATGATCTAAACATCATATTTTTGTGTTTCATTTGTGTATTTTAATTGACAGCCTTTTAATTTTAACAAAAAAAAAAAAAAAAAAATCTGATAACAGAAGGTAGTCGCAGACTCGGAGTGAGTGGCATTCTTAAATCATATGATACTTTCCACCAAAAGGAATATTATTATGATACTTGGCTAGCTTCAATATGGGGCTTAAAGTTTCTTTAGCATACGCCTTTAGATAATTAGCGAATCTTATATTCTTTAATTTGCTGCTTTTTCTGAGGGTTGTAATTTAGTAAATTACAAGGTACTAGATTTCATTCCTGAAAAATAAAATAAGCTTTATAATATTTGGATAACTTTATAGTGGTTCTAGATTTTTATAGTCGTCCTTAAATATCTTCATAGAAACCAATCAAGGTTCATGGGAAAGAAAAAAGAAGAGGCATTGTTGTTTCTATTTTCTACCTAGAGATTTCGTAATCCAAAAAAACTGATAACAATCTATATCTCGTTATGTTTTTTAATTTAAGCCTTCGAACATTTATATTCCAAAGCTTAATATAAAAGATTGTCGACAAAAAAAATATAAATTCTGCTTGCTTTAAGAATACCAGTACTTTATTAAACTGAACCCAAAAATGGTTTATCTAAACTCGTTAAGATTTATATGTATGCTAACAATTATAATTGATATGAACCAAAGAAGAACAAAATAAAGAAAGGTATTAAAATGAATAAAATGACATATGGTTTTCCTTCCATATCTATTAATTTGAAACGGCAATGTGGAAGTGGAACTGTGATTAATTGAAAATATTGGACATCTTAGTTCTTATGATTGACTAAGCTTTTAGAATTCATGATAAAAACATGGAAAAATAAAGATAAAAAGATTAAATAAAGGTGAATCTTTTTTTTCTTCACCTTTCTACGTTGTCAAAAAAGGAAACCACTAACTAAGACATATTTTTCTTTCTGTTTAATTACTTATGTAACAAAAACTCCCCACAAGTCAACTTGGCTTGATACCGGCGCTTCACACTATCCAAACTTCCAATTCAAAGTTTCTCAATTGCTTCCACCTTAATCTGCTATGTAAAAAAAGATCACTCAAGAATCTTGCAAACATATAACGAGATGGCTTACACAACTATTTAACATATAGCCGAAAATTGGAATCATAAGGCCACAACTATGTTTAATCTTTATACATCCTCTATTTATAGTTAGTTGAACTATAATATAGATGGTATAAATTTGAATAAACAAGAGACCAATCGGCTAAGAAATGAAGCGGTTACATACACCCCTCTATTTGCAGTTCCTCATTTGGACTTTGGATATGTACTAAATGTTGTTAGATTTGCACAATCTATTATAGAATCTCGTTATAAACAAAAATTATATGAAAAGACAGAATGAGATCTAATGTATTGTCACTTAAGTCTTATATACACTCATACGTCAGGTGCGACGTTACGTTTGATCTTGTTTCATTTGATTACAGTATGTAAAAAAGTTATACGTCTACCATAATTTTCATTTTTAACAAAAAAAAAAAAAAAACAGATACAAAAAAGTATAACACGAATACACGATACCTTTTAATTTATTTCAATACGTAATATAATATCATATTCTACTGAAAATTTGATAGTTAAAATATATACTCTGAGGGAACTACGGAGCTATCATGGGCACTACTACATCTCTCAGTCAAGATCTCGTTATGAAACGAAAAGAAAAGATAATTTAAACTAAGTTATATTTTATATCCTTTTGAAGGTTACTTCATGGGCATTTCATATAAAACAAGAAATAGTTTTTTCATTTCTGTTATGTGAAAAAAAAAAAGAGAGATATGATTGAGAAAACAAGAAAGAAAGAAAGAAAAAAAAAAAAAAAGTTGAGATGATATTACATAAGCACCCTCTTAACATAAACATAACTCACATATTCTCTCTTTCCTTATTACACAAACTCCATAAAAACTCACATCTTCTCTCCTATCCTTTTCAACTACTTCCCTCTCTCTCTTAATCAAATCGATTGATGAAGATCAGGTGCGACGTCTGCGACAAAGAAGAAGCGTCGGTGTTTTGCACCGCCGACGAAGCGTCTCTCTGCGGTGGCTGTGACCACCGAGTCCACCACGCTAATAAACTCGCCTCAAAACATCTCCGTTTCTCTCTCCTTTATCCTTCTTCCTCAAACAACTCATCTCCTCTCTGCGACATCTGTCAGGTACCTTTCTAACTTACTTCGGACATAGGTTTATGTCTAACTCCGTTGATCTGAGAGTTTCTTGTTTTTTTTTTGTTTTTTTGATTGATATGTCATATGTAGGATAAAAAAGCTCTGTTGTTTTGTCAACAAGATAGAGCTATTTTATGCAAAGATTGTGATTCATCGATCCACGCGGCCAACGAACACACGAAGAAACACGATAGGTTTCTTCTCACAGGGGTTAAGCTCTCTGCTACATCTTCTGTTTACAAACCCACTTCAGAAACTTCTTCTTCTTCAAGCAGCCAAGATTGCTCTGTTCCTGGATCATCAATCTCTAATCCTCCTCTCAAGAAACCTCTCCCAGCTCCTCCTCAGAGCAACAACTCCAAGATCCAACCTGGAGATGCAACGATGAACCAGTGGGGATCTACAAGTACTATTTCAGAGTATTTGATCGACACCTTACCTGGTTGGCACGTTGAGGACTTTCTCGACTCCTCCCTTCCTCCTTTTGGATTCTCTAAGGTTTGTTCATCTATGCTGATCAATAAAGAATTAAAGATCCTAAGTTTAGTTGGATCAAGATTTGGTGTTTTATTAGCAACTTCAGTGACCCCTAAGATTAGTTGGATCAAGATTTGGTGTAATATCATTATCATTTCAGATCTAATTGAGATACAAAGAAAAGTAGCAAAACTTTATAGAGATGTACATAGAGAGATCTTCTGCATATTTTTGGGTATATTTGTCTTAGAGTTATGAAAATAGATGGTTTGTTTTCTTTATCTGGTGGGTTATTCTTTTATGTGATTGCAGAGTGGTGATGATGATGGAGTGTTGCCATATGTGGAAGCAGAAGAAGACAGCACTAAGAGAAACAACAACAATACAGTGTCACTTCCATCTAAGAGTTTAGGGATTTGGGTCCCTCAGATTCCACAAACCCTTCCTTCTTCATACCCAAATCACTACTTTTCTCAAGACAGCAGCAATATACAGTTTGGTATGTACAACAAAGGAACATCACCAGAAGTACATTCTTATACTCCAATACAAAACATGAAACAACAAGGACAGAACAACAAGAGATGGTATGATGATGGTGGCTTCACTGTCCCACAGATCACTACTACTACTACTTTTACTCATCCTCCTCCTCTTTCTTCTAATAAAAAATCTAGATCCTTCTGGTAATTTTATAATCTCCCCTACATGGGTTCTTTTTTGTTTGTTTGTTTGTTTGTTCGTTTGTTGCTACTTGATTTCTTTCAACTTCGATCTTGATAGAACTAGCATCTCTTTTTTGTTATGTCTTTTGTAAATTTGAGTGTGATTGAGGTTTTGTTGTTTTAATCTTTGTAATAATCCTATATATATATATAAATATTCTCTTTGGATCAAAAGAATAATATAAATATTCTCTTTTCGTTTACGCAAAATGTTCTTACTTATCCTCTGTAGTACAAAAAGAAGCCTATGACTTGTTTTGTTGAAATTCTCCAAAGACTTGTTTTGTTTTGTTTTGTTTATGTTTTGCTTCCATAATATAAAGATAAATTAAGTTATTTATTCAATTATCATCGATATTATTAGTATTTGCTTTCTCAAGGGAAAAAGGTAGGTCAAATATAAAGTAAGTTCCAAATTCGATGAATGAAATCTAGTGGTATATATGTATTTTTAGTATGTGAGGACAGTCTTTTTCAACTTCTGCCTCTTGAGTCCCCATAGCCCATATGGGGAAAGGATTGTTCTTGGATTTGGTTGGAATTATTAGATTTGGACAATGAAGGATAGTAAAAGAAGATATATATATATATATATAATGGAGACAAATTCGCAATAACGTGCCCATCACCATCGGCATATTTTTGTTTCTGAGTGAATATGCCTCCAGAGCTCTGATGACTGATGACTAATGACTAATGACTAAGGAGTAAGGACACATCATCAGGGCAGCCAGCCAAAACAATAGTACCGACACGTCCTCTACTCGTTTTAATTAGCAAACTGTAATTGGTTTAACACTGATAAGAATATAGTTATTGGTAAGCGGAAAGATGGGAAAAAAAGGAACAAGAACAAATAAACGTCACCTTTACTAAGCTGTGTTAAACGGGCCTAAGTAATATATAGGCCTATGTTGGATTTCAAAAATGTTAAACCTTCAGCCTTTTTCATAGGGTTTTTTACTTTTTAGTATTTCTCATTGTTTGGAGTTTTGGACTTTGGAGTGTTTTGTTGGGTGCTGGCGAAGGCATTATCTAAAAAAACTTTTGATTACATGAACCGGCACCATAATTATGCCGAAAAAGATGAATGATTAAAGTTTGAGTCATAAATGCTTCAGAGAAGGCTCTATTCTACGGTCTCATATTTTGGATATATTGCCTTTTCCACTTTCATATAAACACTCACTAACACTAAGCTACTGTGATCCAATGATATATAGTCAAAAATAATCAAGAGATTGTACATTGGTCATTGTCAGTCATTGTCATACATTCGTACTCTAAAATAGAGGTTGATTACTAGTTTCTTTTTTTACGGTTGATCAAGACAGGCCTTGCGTTCAAACACACTAAAACAACACAGACTTCTCTCAAAAGATGTTCATTATAAAAAGCACAAAAAGAAAGTCTTTTACACTGGAAATTAAAATGGCAAAAGAAAACTCTCATATGAGAATTCTTTTATGAACGTTTAGTTCATTATAAAGTTCCAAAAAAAAAAACAAAAAAAAAATCAGTATCCTGTCTATTTTTTTGTCATCATCACTCGAGAAGCACCCAAAAAATATTAGTAAGAAAGAAAACCGCAAGAATTAAATCAAACAAACCAAAAACAAAACCCACACCGAAGAGACTGTAAGATAAATCTCAAGAGCTAGCGACGGCAATGAGGTTTGCAGAGAAAGAGACAGTCGTAAAAACAAAAACCTCCGCAATGTTGAGGACATTCCAATATCTTACCTCTGCATTTTCCTCTCCCTTTGCACTCTGCGTATTCTCTTTTCACAAACTTTCCTCTTCCTTCTCTTCCTTTCCCTCCACGGCCGCCAGGCCCGCCACAACCCCATTTGTACCATCCTCCTCCGCCTCCTCCTCCTCCCCAACCCCATCCTCTGCCGCCACCCCACCCCTCCTCCGCCACCACCTCCCCCTCCTCCTCCACCGCCGCCGCCGCCTCCACCCCATCCCCATCTATAGCTTCCGCTTCCTCCACTGTAACTTCTTTTCTTGTCCTTGATATGTACTTCCGTGGTTGTGTTGTTTGTATCATTAGTGTTGTTGTTGTTCTTTACCGTGTCTTGATCAGTGGAACGGACATGCCCACTCACTAGTTGGTTATTTTGCAAGATTACTAAGATCAGGAAGATCACCATAACCACCAATGAAGAGGTTGTCTTCATTTTTCTTGATTCTAGTTTGTAAGTGACTACTTGTTTTTGCTTGATTTGATATGATAGCTTCGTTTTGGCCCTCTATTTATAGTGCATTTGCTTTTTGTTGTCCCCATATATAAATTGAAAATTCATATTGACAGATAGATTTGGTCCTTTCTAACCAAAGAACGTTAGGTTTGGTCCTACCAAGAATAACGATTTTTGTCTTCAAAATTAAGAAGAGAGAAGAATATCATAATTATGTTTTTTTTGACAACTTATTATGTGCCTTTTCTGTATAAAAAAAAAACATTCAATTACTAATTTATGTGTCTTTTACAAAGTACAAACCCATATTGACCAAAAGTATATTTTACAAAGTATTTTAGCATTTTTTTTTGGGAATATTAACAAAATGGGCACTTTTCGATTCCTTTCTTTCGAAGAAGGACCTCAATACAGTAGTCACGTACAGCTCAGCAAAAATCTCTTGTTCATGACATTTTTGTCCTTCTTGTCACCTACACACAAACATCAAGCCATGGTGTATCACAAGTCTGTAAAGAGATAAAACTATACCCTAATAGCAACTTAATCAACCCAAACCAATTTTAAACAGTTTGCCATCTATTACAGTCTGTTTCAATTTTTGTATTGTGTTTGTTCAACTTCGTTAGATAGTGTTGCTGATTTGATTTGTTTTCTCTTTGGTTCAATCGATTATCAACGACCGTGAAAACGGAAGGCCAAGGAGATTCGTATTCGTGACTTTCAAAGATGAGAAATCAATGAAGAATGCGATTGAAGGAATGAACGGACAAGAGCTCGATGGACATAACATCACCGTCAACGAGGCTCAATCACGAGGAAGCGGTGGCGGAGGCAGCCGTAGAGGTGGTGGCGTGGATACCGCAGCGGAGGCGGTAGTGGTTACAACGGAGGAAGCGGTGGATACAGCGGTGGCGGTGGAAAACGCGAGAGAGGATACAGCGGTGGTGGTGGCGGAGGTGGTTACTCGAGAGGAGGTGGCGGCGGAGGATACAACAGTGGTAGAAGACGTGAAGGAAGAGGAAGAGGATACGGTGGTGGTGAATGAGGAGGATACGGAGGTGGAAGCGGTGGATGGTAATTCCCTTAATTAGTTTGGGGATTATTACACAATTTTCTTTAATTTTTTCTTTCCTTAATCGCCGAGGATTGTGATCAACTAACATCATCTGAGAAGAGGGTAGAACAGACTTTTTACACTGGTTGAGTACCTATTTTAGAAAGAACTGTTGAAAATAGCTAAAACGAAAGGATATGTTAAGAAAAGTGCCTTATTTATAATTAACTCTTTTTTTTTGTGCAACACCAAAAGGTTTCTTATAAAGACGAGATATTTCACATTTATTTATGTCTTCATTATACTATAAGATTGGACTTTCTTGATTGTCATATGAATAGGTTACTTATCTATATAGTTTAACTAACATATTTTAGGGAGTTTTATAATATTGTTAGTACAAGAACATATGAGATCCCTTAAGTAACACTACTAGTGGTGGTAGTAGGCTAGTCCACCAATCAATTCTGCAAGTCTTCTCCTTCAATGAACATCTTTTCTTTTCTACAAAAAATTACAAAAGCAAACTTACGCAATGATAATGTCACTAACAAATTTTTTATTCTTTTTACCAATGTATATGAGTATATAAAAAAAACAACGAATAGAAAGAGTGTAAAACAATTCATTCCATTTACAAATTATTATACTCATTGTCTCTCTACATCTTTTATAATTATAGTAGCATGAACTGGATACAAACTCGCATGCCATATAAAACCAAAACAAATACAAACTCGCATGCCATTTCATGCTCTGCAAGTTGGTATTTAAGGAGTATTAGGTACGGCTTGTTTATAGGTTCCTTTTACGTTATCCAATTTCATTTCATCTACTTGTAGATAGATTATTAGGACCATCTCTCGTCTTCTCTCCCCACAAGCAAGTTCATCGTTTAATATAATGTTATCTTTTCCGAATTTTGTGTAATCTACAAGTCTTGTACTAGATCGCCTAATAAATGGAGTTTGACTGAACGGATCGCTTACAAAAGACATATACTTTGCATGCACGAGATTTGTCCTCCTTAAACTTAACTCAAACCTACATGGCTACATCGTATCTCCATTTACTCAACGTTGGGAGAAAACAAATAATCAAAAATTTTGATTTCTAATAATATTGCATCACACTAAACTGTTCAATATTTCATACAACACAATCAATGTCTCAAATTTCCCAAAAAAAACCAGTCTTTGATTCACTCCAATAGACAAAAACCATGAAAAAACAACAATGTAGCACAATCAAAAGATAAAAGGGTGAAGAAGAATGGAACTACAACTGGTAGACTTCTAGAACCTCAGAACCGGCGGAATCCACGGTCAGCGACTCGAGCAGATGGGCACTCGTAAGCCATGTGTCCTCGGCCACCACAATTGTGACATATTATCATAGCACCAACACCATCCCTGTCTCTGTCTCTGCCCATTCTGCTGAAACCATCTCTTTGCATACCACCACCTCGAGCCCTGCTTCCTCTGTCAGAGTAATTGGTATCCCCTTTTGGGCATTGTCTAGCAACATGGCCCGAAATGCTGCAGATGTTGCAAACCGGTTCGTTACGACAGTCGCGTGCTATGTGACCTGAAGTCCTGCAGTTCTTGCACGCCTTGTCGTTTGTGCAGTCAGCAGCGAGATGCCCCGGTTTAAAGCAGTTGTTGCAGAGCCTCAAGTCTCCTGAACGAGAATCCGAGTTAGGGCAGTCTCTCACTCGATGTCCAGATTTGCCACACGAGTGGCAGATTCCTTCGTTTGAACAGTTTGAGGCTACATGGCCCGGTTCTCTACAGTTCCAACACCGTGATTCTGCTGTGCATTCTGCTGCAATGTGCCTGCAGAGAGAGAGAGAGAGAGAGAGTTCAAGGAGCCATAATGGAAATGCGTAAAAACAGAGGAAATTCAGTAATTAAGTAAGGGAGGACATATATACCCCGGAAGGCCACAGTTGTTACAGACAGAAACATTAGAACAGTCTCTTGCAAAGTGACCAGGTCGCTTGCAGTTGTTGCAGAGATTTCCTTGGCTGAACAAAATGATTTCAACAACATCAAGAAATTGTGACAATCATGTCACCTCATTGAATGGAATATAACTTCATCCAAAAAGAATGTATGCAAGAAAACATTTGAACTAAAAGTCTAAAACCAACCTAAAACGCACTATCAATTTAATCAAAGAAACAACCGGAGACAAACAATGAAAGAAAAACCTGAAGTTGACCCAGTTTTTAGTCTAATCAGACCATCTTGATCAAAGAGTAGAAGACAGAAGAAGGCTTTAGATCAGAGAAGTTATTCAGCAAGTCAAAGTCATAATTAAGATAAGCCTCTATGTTGGCTAAGTTCTTCTATAAGCATAGGATTGCGGCTTAACCTCTAGAACGGTTAGTATGAGAAGGTTAATATAGATTATCGAAGAGAAGCAATGGTCTTGGGGTCGAGAGCGAAAAGAGCAGAAATAGTTAATAGTGAAGAAAGGGTCAAGACATGAACAAAAGAGGACCTGAAAGCACGACGTGGCTCCCTTCTAGAAGGAGCATCACGGTAAGAAATCCGTTCAGGTCTCATTCTCCTGTCTCTAGGACTCCGACTACGAATGCGATCACGACTCCGACTCCGACTTCTGCTTCTGCTCATTGAACTCATTCCCCTCACCCAAACAACGACAACTTTAACATCAAACACCTGCCAACATTCAACCACACACCAACATTACCTCCTTCACACTCCCATACATCAAATTCTTCAACACAACTCTCCAAATGCTTCCCGCAATACAATTTTATCAACAAACCCACAAACAGATCAGATCTGAGTATCCCCCCAGACTCCGTAACACCAATTATTTCTTGCATCATCGTCCCAAACCACTTTCAGAAATTTCCACAGCCTCATAAACCTAATGGGTTTCACAAAAAATCAAAGCTTTCCCACTACTATAAACCAGATTCAACGTTATCACATCGTCCTGTACATCCTAACAGATCTTAAAAATCGGAATTTTTAACCTAACAACAGAGTATGAACCACCCCAAGCTAGAACAACATGAAATTAAATCTGAGGAAAGCTTAAGAGCGCAAAAACAAATATTAATCCTTAAAACAATTAAGATAAAAGGAGGAGGATGGAGAAGACAACGAACCTGAGCTAGAAACTTGGCCGAGAAATAATCCTGTCCGGCGAGAGTAATCAATAAATCTATATATATATTTATCCCTCCATACCTGTATTCGGGCTTGGCCTTTTCTACTGGGCCGAATAATAACATTACGTTGGGCTTCTAAATCTGCCAATTATTTTTAAATTAAAACGAAAACAAAAAAATACTCCGTTGCCGGGACTCGAACCCGGGTCTCTCGGGTGAGAGCCGAGTATCCTGACCAGCTAGACTACAACGGATTTGTGTTTAAGTTCGTCTATATATTTATAAACCCTATAGTCTAACAACTGTTAGTTCATAAAAACCATATGCTCTCTCTCTGGATAAAAACCAAAAAAGAGATTCCCCATGTATAAATATCGTGTGGTTTCTACTTTCCAAAAACAAAAGTTCATATAGTTTAAAGAAAAAAAAAAAAGGTGAATTCAAATGATGTGTGTACCTACTTTTATAATTAAGAAAAAGCATATTGTATATATGTAGCATATATATAGGGGTGGTTGATAGTATATTAGGAGAATCGTTTTGGGTTGTTGTTAATGTATATTCGTTAGGCAGAAACTTAATTCTTGGTCTCTTATAAAATTGTTTTCAAACATATAATAATTGTCGTAGTTAGTATATTGAAAAAAAGGGAACACTGGCTAGGGCAGAAATTGATGAAATGGTAGTTGTGTCTTGTAAATTGGCTTGAAAATAAACATGATGGTCCTTTATGTATTCTGTGTCTATACCAACTACTCCGCCGTTGAAGGGACCCATCAGCATCGGTATTAGTTTCTCTACAAAGACAATAAAAGTTTTTCAGTTTTCATGTGACCAATCTTGTTGATGGAACATGCGAGTTTGGTTTCATTCTAACGATGAGATTCGCAGTTCGTTAGGAACCTTGTTCCGTCATCGCCCCGTTTCAATGCATTTTCAAATGAGACATTATTACTTACTTATTTACCAAACAAACATAACAAGAAAAAAAAAGAAAAAAGCATCCCATAAAAGTGTTATATATATCAATGTTGTAAGTTACGTCGTATACTGGTTGGACAACATGTCATCCTATAGCATTAATTTAGACGTATACGTGCTTTTTTGCATGGACGATGTTATACGGATATTTTTTTTTGTGCAAGACATATTTATATATACAAACAATTAGACTATTCCATTTGGTTTGTATATTTATACCATATAACATAACAAAACAGTTTCTTATACCGTGTATCATATGTAAATCCTATAGCGTCGATATTTTTGTCATCTATATTGTTTACATTTCAAAGAGATAAACTTTGCTGTGATTATTTAAAAAGAAAAAAGAAAAAAAAATCTATAAGAAGAGAGATGCGGTGAAATGAATTTGAGGAATAAGACGAAAAAAGCACCACAAGAAGAAAAAAAGTATACGGCTATTGCATGTGCATGTGTTTGATTAATATGCAGATATATTAAATTCGAGAAGCCGTAGCCGGTTCGAGTACTGTCATTGTACGAACGAGACACCCTTCCAAGTCCTTATATAATTATCTATCCATCCCTGTTTTATAAAAAATGATGTCCTTATATATTTAAGTCTCATCATCCACACGATGCCGCTTTGGTTACTATTCATGAATCAGGCTCGATCCTTTGTTATATTGTACAAACTACAAACAACAAAACCCGTCACGGCTTCCACTGTGTTTTGTTTTTGTCTTCGTCTCACACTCATGTACTAATGTTATTCACTTCTTTTTTTCTATATCTTTGCCTTCCGAGTTTTACGCAAAAAAATTGTTTTTGTTTCTAGATATAGTTTTGTAATAAATGAAGTTTATATATGCAAACAAATTTTATATAAATTCCTATACATAATATTGTGTGCGCATTTGGGTTTTTAGCGATATACGTATTTCTTTTGCATAATTTTCAAAGCCAAAAAGAAAAAAAAATTGGTGGCTATTATGGATGCAGAGAAAACGATAAAACCACGTGCATAAGTGTATTATAGCCTCACCGAGATAGTTGAACGCAGGAGAAGTTAATTTGCATAATTTAATTTCGGGGTAGGGAGCTAATTTAACACTTGCAACTTGGAGCTATTAATTTTTTTTTATATCAGAAAAGTTTTCTTGTTCAATAATTTATCAAACTTTCAGTCGCACATATTGCTGATAATTTTTAGATGATAACTTTTAGCTTTAAATCCCCAAGAAAATGATATAAGCTTTTTTAAAAATGGACCACGTACGATACCAACTCACAAAGATGGCAACGTGACTACTTAATTATTTAAAAATATATTAATAGTACAATTTGATATGATACGATTTTGATGTTTGATTTTGAAAACATACCAACATTCCGTTTAGCAATATCCGTCTATGTGAGCAGTCCTGTATGTGAGTTTTGACTTGATATGAATGGGAGCTATATACATAGATTATACATATTGGTTCATTCAAATGAGTTCAAAACTTTTATGGAAAATATTGTAACAATGATTAGTGAAAGTGATATAGATCTTGAAATCCAAAGAAGGTTAAAATTGTAGAAGTTGAGAAACGCATGAAGAGTAATTTAGGAGAGCGAGCGAGCATGTGAGTCAGTTGAGACAGTTGGAGAGTCTCCACTTTGGTTACGACTTACGACAAGTTTCTTGGTTTTGGTTTTGTGGTCCGAAACATCGACCCCTTCCCTCTGCTTCTTTGTTTTTCCATTTTGTTTTTGACGCATTTTAATATTACTATAAAGATTCATTGTATATGGTTTTCCCAAGTGGACAGAAGTTAGGTTGTACGTGTTACGAGAATACTTACCATTGTTTTTTTTCTTTAATTATACTAACTTATTCATCTCTCTCTCTATCTATATAAAAGTAATAGGAAATATTATTACTCACTAGTGGATCATTGGGTACAACAACAACGCTCCTTTTACCCTTGTGAAGTTTCAGCTTTGATGTCCTTTTCTTTTATTCTTCTAGATTCACGGGTTCAATAACCAACGATCGTGGTACTTTTTCGTACTTCCTCTTTTCTTTTTTTTTTCATTTGAAGAAAAATTTAGAGTTTTGTGATCAAATTTGCAGATATTAAACGTAGCATAACCTAACAAACCGGAAAGAAAAAAAAAAACGTAAGGGAAAGGGAATTTGATTACCTTGCTTGATGTCTCTCTTATAAACATGATAAAAATGTTGTAATGCAAAATATCTTTGATATAACATTGTCTAAATCAAATATATCGATACAATCTTTTACCAAAAAGAAAATATATATATCGTATAATATAATATCAACATTTCTTTGTACAAGATCTACAAAACGTCAGTTATATGTTTTTACTATATAAAGAACGATTACCTACGTTTTACAACAAAACTCAGGGATGATTAACTTTATATTATTATAATGTAAAAGTAGTGATTTCTTTTCTATCGTACTGTTTGACAACGTGCATGAAGTAACACGTTGAGTGTTTCGTACGTGTGAGCTTTGCTTGTTAATATAAATCCAATACTAACAACTTGGATTGAAAGCCTACTATACACGCTCGATGTAAGATAATTGGGACAAGTAAATGGGAGAATGTGTCAAGATAACCCATAAAGCGGAGACAATAAAAGATAAAATATTACGATTTTAAAGAAAACTATACAACAGATTCGAATAAAAACCCTAATCAACCTCGAAGGATGAGAACAGAATTTAGTTAATATAATCGGCGAGCATGCATGAACCAAAAGAAATACAAAAAATCAGTAGCTAGTTTAGTTAGATAGATATTCAAATACTATATTCAAACCACAAAAAAGGTGAAAAAGAAGATGTAATATGCATCAAAACCGTCCGTCCAACAAATTCCACACATATTCGTCTTAATTTAGACCCCACAGCTCCACATGCTTTGAAAATACAATTCACATTTTTTTTATAAATTATTAATTTAAATTACGCCTCTATTTGTATATAAGAAAATATGAATTCAACAGAAGGCTCTCTTGGAGCGAAACCAGATGACCCAAGCGGTCGTTTTCGAGTTTTCTACATTATATCATCAGTTCTGCAACAAATTAAATAATTTTTATCATCTAAATGCACAACAAATGGTCACCCGTAGCATACACGCAAATTCATATTCAGATAACAAACACATCATAATCTCCTCAACGCCTCGATATCACCATCAACCCTCTCTCTCTCTCTCTCTCTATACAGTATACATGTTGTTGTGGTTGTGCATAAAATAATAAATTCGTATATACAGTTTTATAATAATTCCGTATATTCTTTGTTTCGGAAAACGAAAAGAAGATTTTCCACTCGCGCAAGGCCTCAATAAATACACCCAACCATAAGTCCATGAGCCCTCCTCCTTCACTCTAATCACACTCACCATCCTTCATTGTGAAAAAAAGATCTCGAAAACTCAAAAACCACACACAAGAAGAGAACCATCCTTTTGAAGAGAATGGCGATGAAAAAAGCGAACAAGCTGACGCAAACGGCGATGATCAAGCAAATCTTGAAGAGGTGCTCGAGCTTGGGGAAGAAACAGAGCAATGTATACAGCGAGGACGTAAACGGATCTACTCTTGACGTGCCTAAAGGCCACTTCGTCGTCTACGTCGGTCAGAATCGGGTCAGGTACGTGGTGCCCATTTCGTTTTTGACCAGACCAGAGTTTCAGCTTCTTCTCCAACAAGCAGAGGAAGAGTTTGGTTTCGATCATGACATGGGTCTCACTATCCCTTGCGAAGAAGTCGTTTTCCGATCTCTCACCTCCTCCATGCTCCGATGAACATATCTTTTTTTAGGGCTATGAATTTTTTTCCTAGTTATATATATTTTGGAGATTTGAGATGTTTTTAGGGTAAACAGAGGAAGCTGCTGAGTAAAATGCTTCTCTGTTTTAGCAAAAATCTTAATTATGGTTTTGGTTAATATGGGTTTAGTAGTATTAGAGTGAGACTAACCCTTAGAAGGAAAAAAAAAACCTAAAATGAGAATGATTACTATTTTTGGTTATCTTCTCAGATTTACTTCTCATGGTGGTGTGGTTTGTTCAATGTGTACCCTGTGAGAGACTTCTTAAAAAAAAAAAAATATGAATGAGAGGCTTTTTTATATTATCAGCTTTTAAGTAATTTTCTTTTAAAAGAATTAGTGAATTGTTGAGATTTTTGAATGCATGATAATTGAATTCTAGTCACGCGGACTCAGTCAAATATCTCTGCGCCCAAGTCAATATGTATAATGTAAACAAATTCCCAAAAAGAGTTCTGTTGAATGGTGAAGCTAGTAAAGCTGCTATTTTTTCAGGCTTGTAAAAATAATTGAAGGTGTTAATAATTACTATAAAATAGGTGAATGTGGTTTCTCACTTTTACAGTTTAAGTTTTTGATTAAAAAAAAAAAAACCAATGCTGAGATAGTTTACCCGAAAGCAAAGTACGGTAGTCCTTGAAAACAGAACAATAAGACATCGTCGTTACGTTCTAGAGTTCTGTCTCCCTCTCAAATAATCTCTCTACAAATTTACTAATATGTTTCAATATTTCTCATATTTTGGCTTTGGAAAAAAAACTCCGAAGTGTTGTCTTTTTGTTTTTTTCTTTTAATAAAAGAAACAATGCTGGTGTCTCTTTACAAATCGGCGGTTTTTAGCCGTTAAATCTGTTGAAATGACAAAAAGAAAAAGAAAAATCTTGATGGGAATGTTAGTTGCAGACTCGTTATAACAGTATAAATAACTATATATAGATGATTCTGCTATGTGTTGAGAATCGTAAATGCCCCAACTGTTTGTATTAACAACGATATTATAATAAGGTAAGCTAGGTATTTTGAAAACGCTTACCTGTTTCTATATTTATTTAAAAGTTTATATATATATATATAGACCCTAAAAGTTGTGTAGAGCAAACATTTTGGTTGATAGATGGATACATTTTTGTGTTTGTTAATTTTCATTACATCTATATTTTTATAGAATAGAAAACAAAATTAAAAGCTAATGAGGCTAAAAACCCTAGCCTAGATGTTGATGTTCAACCGCTTAAAATTAAATCTTGACATTATTGCAATATGGCATTTACGTTTTAACTTCTTTATAAAACCATACAAACCTTTTCACAAATGTGTGACAAATCTTGAGAAAAATATATACTTAAAGTATAGAATCTGCAAAAGTTTTACGTTGATAATCCGTCCCACACTCTGTGGGTAATTTGAAAAAAAAAAAAAAAAAAGGTTTTGGAGATGTCAAAATCAACGTCAGGGAGGAAAGATAAGCACATGCGAATGTGACCCACAACAAAGCTTAAGGAAATCTCGTATATAGTAAAGATGGAGGAACCCTACAAGATTCTGAATGGTGTTGCTAATAATAATCCTCTAGAACACAGAGTGGTAGGTGATGGAGCCAACTTCAATTATTTGGACGGCTTAGATATAACCATTAACACTTGGACTTGTATCATGGGCTTCAAGATCACGATAAGATTTATCGTATCGTGTGTTATTTGCTTGCTTGCACTCCCCAACTACGATTGGACATAAACACCCCGCCCCCCCCCCCCCCCCTTCTCTCTTTGCCGTACGGTACTTATCGGACGGACGGATGCAACTTTTTCTTTTCGTTTCAGTTTGCTTAATTTAATCGTTTATTTGACTATGCTGATTAAACCTAAATCCGACCGTTCAGTTATATTTTTTTCACCAACCATTGAGGTGGAACTATATATTGACAAGTGTTACGGAAGATGAACGTATCATTATCAATATTATTACGCAAAAGTTATATAGTATGTCATAATAATAATATCGTTTTCTTTAATCCATTTATTACCGTACGGAGATTAATTATAAAGGGTTTAGTACGGATTTGAAGATCTAGTATAATCTGCTAGATTTATTCTCCATTTTTTCCTTACGGTCATCGACTTTATATAAAATAAAGGAGAAGATGTGTCTTTTCCCCTTGGACATTATATATTTGTGAAACGTCGAAAGGCTAAAAAGAAGATGTGGTAATGCCTAAATATTGGATGAGAATGGGTCGGTAAAGAGATCGCAATCCCACCAAGTCCGAAAGTGCTACATATCCACTAATTAGTATATCATTACACAATTTTTTTATAAAAGAAAGAAAAGGAACGCACAAGATATTATCCCCTTTTTTTTTTGGCATCATTACGACTACGACGAATCATATTTTGAATTTTTATTATATCTCATAATGTGATAACAAAAAAATAGAAGTATTAAAATTAGACTTTGTAATGAAGTTGTTTTGATGTAATAACGATTACAACCACATCAACCATAAATTTCACTGAATGTGACAATATAATATACTGAATATAGCTAATTCTCTTTACGGAAGAATCAGATCGGTTATAAGGCAATAGTACTAGATAGTAAATAGAATTTATACGGTTATATTTTCATTTATATTGATTTTTAAACCTGTTGTATATATTTACTTTGGACTCTTAACGATATTAGTATATTTTGCACGATTAGCAGGATTAAAGCATATCGGACTGGGCCTCTTTAAGTGCCACCATCAATCTCGATAGAGAGAGAGAGTTCTCTACCGAATCAAACTAGTTAATGTTGTTATATCTTTGAGGTGGCTCGGTTAAGCCTGAGTGGATGGGTCTTTCCTCAATGGACTTGGGCCGTAACATTCCCGATCCCGCATGGTTACTATAGGTGGAGAAACCAACGAAAAATGTGCTTACAGGTTGATAAAACCAAAGAACATAAATATGATCGAACATGAAGTGCTTACTCTCCTTAAGTGATAATGTTCCTTTCTCAAATCCCTGCAAAGAGCATAGGCTCATCCAGGGGAACAGATATATGTATATAGATCAGTTTATATCATAGCTATTGGAAAAATTAATCAATTTTTGGAATTTGATCAGTGATACATTCCGCTAGCTGTGTATTATGTTTTGTCCCGATTTGATTTTTTTTTTCTTTTTAATTTCATTTCTCTGTTCTTATTCCTCTGTTTGACTACCACATTCTGTCCCGTGCATGTCATGAATTATTTGAAATTACTATTGGATTAATGATTAGCCATGCACGAGCACGAGGGTGTGGGGTGGGGGTAGCTGAACGTGAGATGACCAAAGGATAATGGTACAAATGTAAAGTTAAAACAAAGCTTTCTCATTGGGCCTCTCTTCGCTGTCATTTCGAAAAGAATCTCTCAAAGGATGATATTAGCTTCTCTTTCGGGTTCCACGACTCTCATCATTATAATTCTAAAATAATTGATGTACTAGTAAAAGGACATATGTCTTCCTCGTTAATGATCTCCTTCCTGGCTACAACTATCTTTAATCCCAACATTGTTCTTTCAGCCATTTCGAGACTTCCTTTTCAAATTCTATTCATCACATTAATCCATTTTCGGACAAGAGTCATCATTCGTTGAAATCTAAATCGAGTAAATTCGCTTTCGCTGGTAAAAAAAGGTTTTGTTGGTTCATGATATTTTCAAACATAATATTCAATCGTTTATAGCTAAATTAATGTGTGGTAGATCCACATAGTCTATCAAGCAGCATAGTGCATATTATACCATTCCTAGACTAATGTAACTGCATATATATATATATTGGTCCTTTATACATTCTTACTTCTGAAGTGTTAATGTGGGGTGTAAAATATTGAAGTACAGAACATGTTCAAGATGTCCTATATTTGTGGATGCTAGAGAAAACGGATCATGTAATAAATAGGTACATCATGACGAGTGCAATAGATCAATATAAAAATTTGTTAGTGCTATATAAGAACTATATTGAAATAAAGTTAATTACACATTCTAAAACCTATACATAGAAGACAATACTATTTATACTTGAATGGAATAATACAATATACAACTTTTTAATCCTCTCAAGATTACCTTTTTTTTTTTTTTAACTCAATCATATTACAGAAAAACTTCATAGGTTCGTTGTTTATATGTTCCTTTATTGATAAAAGACCTAAATTTTCTTCTATATAAACTAGAGGGGGGAAGAGAATGAATCAGAACAGAATCTAAACTATCTAACTTTCAAAATTCTATAGGCTGTATGAACGAACATTCTAAAAGTAAGAGATTACGGTGATGACATTATGTACCGTAATTTGTACTGCTGTTGGAAGAACGTGAAGACAGCAACAGCTTTGTTTTTGTGAGGATGAAAACATAGTAAAGTGGCTATTACTAGCAGCAGTATGTAGTCTTTTCCTTCACATGACCTGGTCGGATTTTTTTTTTCTTTTTTCTGTTTCCAATCACTAATGTCCAAATTTCAAACAACTTTCGCCGAAGAAGTTAAACAATAAAACATTTATAAGGAGTATATATTGAATCAAAAGAAGAAGTAAATACTATTATAGCTGATAGTTTCAAAAGTCACCTTAAACTAATTACAAAAGTTTTTATCCTAATGTACACTGTTTAGTTTAGTCTAAACCGCACATACTTTACATCAGTTAGAACTACACTAACTCAACAAAATTATGATATAAACTCTTAACTTATTAATTTATTTACTCATGACTGATTATGCCAATCATATACAGTACTATATATTACCAAAATTTAATGTTTTTTTTTTTAAATTACAGTATGATGATTATGAATCTTCTAACCATTTTTTTTCCTGTAGCTCATTGTAATTTAACATTACCAGTGCAATGGCATATTATACTCGTTGATTGTTAGAATTATTGAAATGATCTCCAACAATAATGATTACTACAATTTAATGGAAATTGCAGAATTTACAACCAATTTTAAAAAATTACAATTCTCCACATATATCCTTAAACTTGGATTCGAACCCGGGACGACTCCGGTAGAATGACTCACCCACCTTTCACGGCCATCTCCGAGCCACCAATAATTCATACATATACACTCGCCGCCGCCTCCACCAATAAAATAAATAACACAAAAAAAAAAAAAACCGAGTCAATGGCGACGATTATTCAAAAATTGGCTTCGTCCCGAGTCGAACCGGCTTCAGAACCGGCTCTCGTTTTTATTGTCTATTTACTCTGTACGACGCCCGTCGTCAAGTGATCCGTTAACAATCACCAGACGGCTTTGTTGTCGGAAACGCCGTGAAGTAACGGTCGAGATTCGATCCATAGATCTATCTTGCTTCTTATCCCCACCACGTGGCAATTCTTCTGAAAATCATCGGGACAAGTAAACCGTCTCGACCGGGTCGAATCAGACCGAGATATGAAGCGAATCGATTCCTCGAAAACCGATTCTTCACAAGGGATAACCAATGGACCTTGGTTAACGAAACCGAACTCTTCCTCAGCTTGAACCAGAAGGTTCCTTAGGATTGGATGGTTCAGGTACGTCGCGCGCACCACAAATCTCCTGCAGCTGCTACCAACGTAGACCGCCACGTGTCCTGACGGTACATCTGACGGTACACAGCGGCTGAATGAAGAAGACATCCTCGCTTGGTCGCGCCACCGTCGGAGCATCTGTCTCAGCCTCACAATGTGGCGGATCTTACTGCATTTTCCGAGACCTCCTCCTCCAGCCATATTTTTTTTTCCGGTTTAGTGGTTTTGATCTGGTTTGTTAGTAGCTTTTAGTGAGAGAAAGTGTCAGAGGGATTTTGAGAGTTTGGGAGGGACGAGGTTTATATAGTCAAGGCTATAACAAAACGCCACTGGGTTTTGAAGATATTTACGATATTGCCTCCGTGGTCCTTAATTACTTTTGGCTCTATTCTTTTCCCTTAATGAAAATAAAAAGATTAGTGTTGTGATTGGTACTAGATTACTCATTATTTCAGGAAATTAATTTTAATCATTTTGTTCCAAGGGTGATTAGATATGATTCTTATTAAGAGGAGCATCAAAGATTTAAGTATGTTTTTTTCTTCTCCATACAATGGATGGTGCACGCACAAAGCAATTGATAGATACAATACCACAAATGATGGATTTGACATGTGAATATAAATTAGTGGTTGATTATGATATGGTTCATCAAAATATATATAATCAAAGTTTTATATGATTATGCTAATGAATCTATCTTGAAAAAATTATTAGTCATTTGGAGATAAAGGATTGATTACTATTAGTTCAATATAAAGAAGTGTCGCTTTTGAATAAAAAGAGATTGATGGTAGGGAAATAAGAGCATGTGCTAGTGTTGGATAAGACGACCAGTCTTTGGAAAAGACTTCAAACATAACCTTGGAATTTGATTAGGATTCATTCTTTAGAGGCACTTTGTCTCTCTTTATATATATATTCATGTTCTTGTTTGGTATATAGTCAAAGTGTTCATATGTTAAAAGCAATTAACCTGATGAGATTCTATGTATTGATCTTAAAGTATCGGCAGACATAGCTTATTAGTGGTTCATATCAGCCACAGGTGGAAACACGAATTCGGCTAATTATTAGTTCTCTCGAAATGTTTATATATATGATTATTCTCCCAAAAATATAAACATACAAAACGTAATGTCAAAATTATGATCACATATATATATATAGGATTGTTTCGTATACACCTATTTTATATTGACTTTATAGACAAAGTAAATATATATATATATATATATATATATATATATATATATATAGGATTGTTTCGTATAAACCTATTTTATATTGACTTTATAGACTAAGTAAATTATGTTATTGTTAATGATTAAATCTTATATTGACTACATGAAATTATTATCCAAGAGAGACGTACTCAATTATCCAAAACAGATGATCAATGGTCGTTGATATCATATGTAGCATGTACCACATGAAACCACAACAAAATCATTAAAGGACTTAGAAGGAAAAAAAGTATATTTGAGCATTATGTACTTTTAAAATTTATAGTACAGTATATTTAAGTTAAGTTGATGGCAGATCTGAGGAATATTATATTCATTCATTCAGATTTATTCAGAATGTTATAATTAAAATTTAGTATCTAAAAATTGTTGAGCGAAAAAAGCTTGAAGAAAATACTAGCTAAATTTGTTTTACAGTAATAAAAGCCAGTATATTTCTATGAATTTATCTTGTTTAAGTATAACTTTGAATACTTTTTATACTTCCTAACCTTTATGCCTTTAGAATAGACCGATGTATATAAATATGCACGTAATTAAGTAAAATTAAGAAGTTTACATTTTTAGTGTAAAGCTTAATAAGTTTGGAGACTGTTCAGCAAGCATAATTGTTACCGGCAAGTGTGTTCAAGTTTTCTATTTTGGATCCGCCTATGATAGAAAATTAGATCTATAGTACAGCTTATATATATATATATATATATGCATGCTATCAAAAATTTTAACTGCAAAGCATGACTGTTGCTTGTTGCCAAAAACAAAATATTAACTGTTTGAAACGATATTTTTCTCTCAATCAAATCATTATATATACCAAAGCCTCTTCGTCGCATAGCTCATTTTTACAATATGTTTTTGTAAAATTTATACATCTGCAAGCTAAACAATAAAGATACGTTGGTTTATAACATTTCAATTCTTGTGAGTCGTCGAATCTTGGTATATAATATGATATGAGATGAAATAAGACAAATCAAAGTAACAAGGATTAAGAACATCAAATATTAGGGTTACGAGACTTACGAGTATTTGATATAGTATATATGAGTATGGCAGAAGTTTACAACTAACGCAGTAACCGAACAAAACCGAACAGGTTGGCTTTTGTATTTTTTTTTTGAAAAAAGAAGAAGATTAAAAGTGCTTTTAAACAAAAGATTATAAAATGGTTCAAGATGAGATAGTTCGTGCTTGTACAAACAAGGGCCAATTAGCCACAGCTGCCACTTGAGAGTCAAAACTTTTAAACGTATTATAACAAAACATAAAAATACACTTCTGAATTCTTCTTATTATATTAAACTTTGTCGTTTACGTATAAATTAATTTCGGCGCACGGAAGTGGGAGAATTTATGTTAAACAACAATAAAATAAAACCCACCACATGGGTAGCTGGGTAAAGCTAATAATAATAAAAACTGTATATATAAACAATGTTGTTTAAAATTGTACTATATTCGATTTAATACTCTTAAACATTTTCTAAAACTATACTACTATAAAGGTTCTCTCACCAGACGCAGTTAAGATAACTGAAGATGCTTTTTGTTTACTGAGAAATTTTAATTTTAATTGTCATAAACAATTAAGTAGTGTTTATATACGAGAATGAAGAATAATGTAATACGGCGTACCACAACAAAACATTTTATTTGTTTTTCGCAGTATACAAATGTGTCCATGCTTCCATGTGCGCGAATGTCCCCATCGATCTCCAGTAATTTTTTTATATATATATTCTTTCGCAACAAAAGCAGCCAACATATTTTTCCAATTTTAATTACGTTACTAATTAATCTCTTAGATTTATCTCTCTATAATCGTACATTTTCATGTGATATAAGTGCTTATTATATTTTAATCATTGTCAGTATTTGTTACTGTCGGTCTAATCTGATTAGTCATTTCATCTTATCCTTAAAAATTAGTCAGATTACGGCATATACATATAAAATATTGTTTCTACAAAAAGCTATTTTCTATTACACAGTATTTTTCTAAAGTACACTTTTAAACCCTTATTGCAATTAGTTATTTCACCTAATTAACAAAAATTGTTGAATTGTAGCATTGTTGAAGTAGAAAAGAATATAGAATTGCTAATCAATAATAATCGTATTGTCCACGCCTAGAGTTCCTATCACTCCTACATATCACATTTTTCGCATGTGGCATGATAATAAACTTATGATATACTCACTTATCATATTAATTTACTCGAAATTTCAGATATATATAATATAGCTAGTGAAATAATAGTTTGAAAGAGATGATTGAAATACCTTATTTTAAATCTTACTATTCAGAATAAATAGTATACAAAAAAAAAAGGTGGGTCCAAATGCATGTTATGGATGCATCCCCCCATGCGACGTTACGTTCTCACACACCCCACTTGTTGGGTTTTAAGGATCTTCTCATTTAATTGCTATCTTCCTAAGCAAATCTTCATTAATGCTAGTGCTAATTGTTATCATTATTATTGGTTACTATAAACTTATAATAAATCCAACTCAAATTATATAAATTACAAGAGAGACGATCGTATTCTATGAATCGGCATTGGATTGTCTCTTTATGCCTCCATGCACCAAATTGCATTAACAACATGCACGCACAATTTGAGGAATATATATATTTATTATATCATATATGGGATCAAACCAATAAGCTAGCTAATAGCTTAATTTGTTTTTTACTAGGACACAAATCTCATCAACTAATATCTCTCGTGTGGTAATGTCATTTGTTGAACCAACAATATCCATATAAATCTTTTATTAGACCATAATAATATGTTTTTATTGCTTAAAACATTAGTCTATATTTATTATCTTGATAAATGAAGTGTGCAGTAGATTGTGTTAATTACAGAATGAGTTTTGCAAAATGATAAACTTGTGAGAAAACGTCTTCTAGTCGCTGAGTATGTCGACGTGGACCAATATTAGGTGGGTTAGAGATGACATGTCAATAATATAAGATGACGTGGCGGAGACAATTTATAAATCCCGTTGACCTGACTTGTGTGACCCTCTTTCTCAGTCCAAAGCTTTGAGTGTCAAAAAAAGTATATTATATTGATGGCGCTTCGGCCGTTGTACTTGTACAGTAAACGTTAAGGACCTACGGAACATTCCGTCATCTCTGTTCTTTTCATAAAGTATAAATTAAATACATTTAATATAGTTTAGTTTACGTATTAGGAAGAAGTGATTAGCCACAAGCAGAAGGGATGAACCTGTTTAAAGTTTGGTTTCCTCAATGTTTCATATAATTAATTAAGTAAAAATATAGCTTTCACGAACATAGATAGCTTTTTACGAGTGTAATTTGTCATTCTCCACTAACATCTTCTTCTAAAATAAACTGTTTTTTGTCCAAAATAAAAATAAACTGTTTATCACAACATTATGACTATACTATCATGACGCGTAAAACACACAAAAAGAAACATTAGTTTGTTTAATAGTTTGCTATTGTGCTTTTGTAAAAGCCTATTTGGAATCTCTTAAGTTTTTATTTATATTTGCACAATAGATTTAACTTTTTTTAATCTTTAGGTCGAATTATATTAACTCAAATTTGTAATCAGTGCTTTATTTTTCAGTGTGAAGAAGAGCACTGAGAAGACATAGAGATGCACATGCAATGTTTAGGTTAATAAAGGCATTTAGACATACTAATCAGGATTATGCTTTGGATTTATTTAGGCAAAACGTCTTTCGGCATCTCTAACATCTTATCAGATTTTGCCACGTCTCTATCTTCCCTTCCTATTTTATTTGTTTAATAAACACAAATCATATATATTATTTAAATTGTTTCTGTTCATGGCTCCAACATTAATACAATTTTGTACAAATAAGTGAAAATCAGTTCTATTAAAAAACACAAACTCACCTATTTACAATGAATGCAATTGTTATGCCAATTGGCTCGCTTGAGTTAATCTTGTTGATAAGAAAAAAAAAAAGATGAGTCAAGATATCAAAGTTCTTAGATCTAGATACGTTATTATTTTCATTATATATGTATGCTAATTACTATGTTAGGTAAGAGAAAGTTTTGGTATTGTCAACCGAGGAATATTGGATCATATGTTATGCTAAGGCACTAATTTTTTCTACTCATCCACAGCATTAAACTCGAATCCCATTTGGTTAAACAATTTATAATCTCATTCTAGAATTTGTAATAACTAACCAAGTAAGTGAAGTAGTAACCATGTTCAGACAATATGTGTAGGGATCTATTTCATACATAACTAAATTATACCCATACTGAAAATGGTATAGTCGCTTATTCCATTGATAATCTGTGGGTATCAAGAAGGGTTTTGGCAAAAATATATCATAATTATATAATTAATTTCTATAACTCTTTATGATTATAAAAACAAATTGTGTAACACTAGATTTGGTTAGCTCATGGGATGCAGAATGAAAACAAAAGAGGCAAAAAGCTGTAAGATAATTTATTATATACGATAAAATTAAGTTAAATGATAAAAGCATAGGACGACACAGCCTTGCATAGCAATTATACGATGAGAATTTTATCATATAATACTGGTTTTGGTAGAAAAATGATACTATTTGTTATGAACCGAAGGAATAATTAAGTAGGCAGTGACGTATGTGATTTCGAATAACTAAATTAGTCCTACTGTCGGACTTCAAGCATTAAGAATTTTATAGTACGTGTTACAAATATTATTTTATTACATTTTAAATAAGTGAAAATGGACCTTAATTAGTTAAAAGACAGAAAAGTAAATGTTTAATAATTAGCATCCAATTTATAATGGAAATGATTAGTCCTTACATATTGAGTATTCAAGTACGTCAATGTTAAAGCCTGTCCATAGACCAGCTCATCTAAATGTTTTGTCTAGGAATTATTTGGACGCTTTATTTGAAATTATACCTTTTAATCATCATTAATAATTAAGTTTCTCATTATCCCTTGATTAACTTAATATCTTCCTTCTTTTTCGTTTATTTTCTACGTGTAACATGTCAGTGTCGCAACCCACACCAATTAGTAGCTTGTATATGTGCTTAATATTTCAAATCAGGCCATGCAAACAATAATGGTAGTGTTCACTGTTCAGTAAGCTATATTTTTTTGGGAATTTGCTTGATACCTATTGCATTATAAGCTTTATGGACAAAGAGAAGAATGAATTGACCATTAAACGACTAGTTAATTAAACAAGGCGTACTGAATAACTAGACTATATATGTCCTCAATTTTTTCCTTTTTTGCACAATAGAGTAACATTATTTAGAGGTATGTTTTTTTTCCCCAATTCCACTCTCTTTTAAACTCTAAAATAAAATCTCCAATTTTTGCCCAAAAAAAAAAAAAATGCAAATGTGCAAAAAGATCCGTACAGTAACGAGAGTGCCCATAAAATGCCATGCATATAGTCATCTTTCCAGGCTTCCAGCTTCATATCATTAACTGCAGAATTGCTCGAATCATTTAGATGTGAACTAAATATTTATTTATATGCTCTTTATAATTCTATGATTGGGTCAGAAAGTTATCGAATCGTGGTTGTGGACGATATTTGTATGAATGTATCTCCTATGATTAGGACTGTGGAATTCAATGACACCACCAATATATATCACATGAATCACACAACTAGTTGTTGAACCTTATTCTATATTCACCATAACCTTTCATTGTCAAAGCATTTTAAAATAAATCAGTATTATTTGGTATGGACATATATGGCTGTTAGTTTTTGAACCACTTGATATAACAGCAGTAACGAATCATTGGACGAGAGCATCTGTATTTGCAGAATATATATAATCATTCAATATTATTTATGAATAATAGTGTTCCATTGGTATAAACAAAAGAGCGTGATCAGTTAACTTAGAAGAGTTCTCTAATTTTCAAAGAGAGAGTCATTAAGTCATCAAAGACATGCATAGAGAGGTGATTGCATATGGTACACGTTGGGTTTAGAGTCGTAACGCAATAATTGTTTTTGAGAGTTTGGTAATGATTATACATGAAATCTCTTAGCTTCTCGGGTAGTTAGGCACATGACATGACTTCGAGTAGAAACACTACGGGTGGTTGTGGAATATGATGGCCGAATCATTAAACACGTATAATTTGGAATCAAACGTGAAAAAAACTAAGAAATGGTCAAGTACGTATACGTACCTTTTTATTTGTATTTTGGTCATTCGCAGTATCGGCTAATACTATGAAATTGTGTATTTGCAACAAAAAAAGAAAAAGAAAGGAAAAGAAGATGATATATTGGTTAAAGGATCGCATGCAGAGTGATTTTGCATCTTCCAAAGGCCTAAGATCTTCTTATGCTTACTACAAAAGTTTCGAGGCTTTCATAATTTTGCAGCAAACACTAATCACTCGACACACCGCACACGGTTCAAGGTTTAGAAAAAACAATTGAACTAAACTTACCAAATTGAAACCTTAAGTCATGTCGATGATTGTGTCGTAACACGTCTCTTACAAGAATCGTTCTTGATCGAGAAGTAAGAGTCCTTCAAATATCAAATACAAAATCATATAAAATATATAACTCTAACGAACTTGAACACATATTACAAAATCTAAACAATCTCATAATCAAGAAGATAACGAGAAGATCTTGAGGGATCAGTCCTTAAATTATTTGATATAATATCATATAATATATGTCTACAGTCTACGTCAAGCAGATCTTCAAAATGAAGCTCCATAACATGCAGATAGAGAGAGAGAGATATGTTTACATATCATCTGTCGATGTACTTGGGTTAACCTAATGTTGTGGTTTTGATTTGAATATAATGAGCTATTAGGCCTATTTCATATGGACCATAATCAATATGGGCTCAGGTCCAACAACAGAATTGATCAGCAACTTTCAGATTAAACAAGTTTAAGATTCCACCTTCAAATTAGACGGACCAATCAGAATCGACAACGAGGATCGCCACGTATGATTATTCTTAATTTAGTCAAATCTGGACCGTCGAACATGCCATAATCGCACGTCTATTAATTACTGCTCCATTAATCTCCTAAAATTAACCGATCTAATTCACCTCCTCACTATATAATAATCTCATTAATCTTTTTTTTTACTTATCTCCCCCAAAGTAAAAACAAACACAGAGACTTTTGCGATTCCTCTCTCTGATTCAAAAATCTTCATCGTTCCAAGCTCAAATCTTTCTTGAAGAAGAAGCCATGGCTCGTACGAAGCAAACCGCGAGGAAATCAACCGGAGGAAAAGCTCCGAGGAAGCAGCTCGCCACCAAGGTTCGTATCTTAGTTTTTGAATTTGTAATCGGGAAATTGAAAAATCTAGGGTTTCAGATTTTAATTGATTTGTGTAATTGTAACTCAGGCAGCGAGGAAATCTGCGCCGACCACCGGAGGAGTCAAGAAGCCTCACCGTTACCGTCCCGGAACCGTCGCTCTACGGTATAATTTCTTCTCTCCTCTCATCTCAAAACGAAATCGTTGTTTGATATGTTCTGATTTGCAATTTCTGAGAAATCGTATGCGTTTTGGTTTTGTGAAACAACAGTGAGATTCGTAAGTACCAAAAGAGCACAGAGTTGTTGATCCGTAAGCTTCCCTTTCAGCGTCTTGTTCGTGAAATCGCTCAAGATTTCAAGGTATATAATCTTGTCTTTTCAGCTATTTGAAACCATAAAATATGTATAAGATTGGTTCTTGATTCTAAGATTGAGTAGTTGTTTGACTGGTTCTGTAAGCTATTTGAAACCCTATAAGATTGGTTCTGGATTCTAATAAAGATGTGGATATATATGTAGACGGATCTGAGGTTCCAGAGCCACGCAGTGTTAGCACTTCAGGAAGCTGCAGAGGCGTATTTGGTGGGTTTGTTTGAAGACACTAATCTTTGTGCCATTCACGCCAAGAGGGTTACGATTATGCCTAAAGACATTCAGCTCGCAAGAAGGATTCGTGGGGAGCGTGCTTAGATGTTAGAGTCGAAATCAAATCGTCATCAACTAGTATTCTATTAGGAACCCTTTTGATTTTTGTTTTTTTTGCTTTGCTTCGATTTGATTTCATGTTGTCTCACTTTTATTAACCAAAATACAATATTATCTTAAGAGCTTTTTGAGACATGATTTGGTTATTGATGATATGATTCTATTGTTTCTCTTGATCATTGTTCTTGGATGTGTTTCTCAGATTTGTTTTTCTCTTTGTTTCAATATGAATTTTGAGAATAACAGATTATATTCTCATAATTTTAAAACAGCGGAATGATTCTGTGGTTTTCTATACTTCGTAGTGTAATTTAAAGTCTTCTCGTGCTATAAAAAGACTAAGCCCAGTGAAATTTCAGATTATTCATGTTATTTACTATTTAGAATAACGAGCTATGGTTAAAATCAGAATGAATGGGCTTTGTCTTTCAAATTCATGATATGATTCTTTTTTGACAATTCGACTATGTAAATTTATTTAGTGAAATCTCACCTTTTATTTTATATTTATTTTCTACCAATTCCTTTTGTTTCCCAGCCTAGGATTTATTTATTTACATGTTTCTTTTTCTATAATAAATAAAAGTTTGTATGGTGACCAAAAACAGATATTACTAATAAGAATGTAACAAAATCATTTTTGGATCTTAGGCCCATTACGTATTGTTTGTCTATTTTGGCGTAACAATACGATGCATATTTGGCGTAAGAAACATAGTGGATCCGAAATGGAATTTTTACTAAAGATGTAAATTGGTGGAAATGTTTTGTGATCGGGTGTAAAAGGCGTAGAAATAGTTAGACAAGAGAGTGACACAAGTGGAGAGACGTGCAAGACTGTAAGAATTTTTTTAGTTGGATCATATTATGACGTAACTCACTACGTACTTTCATTTTTATTTTATTTTTTTTTGGTCTTTTTAGAGTCTGTTGCCTCTCTAAATCTGGTCTCGCAAATCTTTATACACACGACGTTCCTTTTATGGATTTTCCAAATTTTAAAGAATAAGTTTTAGCATCATTCTCTTGCCCACGTCCTCGTAATTCCCTTTGTTCTTGGCGTAATTAGAGATTTCGTATCCCTTTTAAAACCATTAAACTTTCTCACGTAGCAATAAAGTATATAATATCATATTTAAAGAAAAAAAGGTATATACTATAACATGAAACTTCACCGACTCAAAGATATAACAAAGTATCTGATTCCTTTTTCCTTTTTTTTTTGACAGCATATCATTGTAATTGATTAATTATGATAACATACGACTCCATGAAACATATACATAAAACTGTCTTAAATAATATTGTAAAAGAAGAAAAAATCACCCAAATTTTGTAGGTTTAATAAAAATCACACATATAATGAGTTGAATGACCAATGATGATGAGAGGATCAGTTTCACTGTAAACGTAGCCAAACACCTTCACTCGGAATATCTTGGTTCACCACGAAAACCATGTAGTAACCGGGCGGTGCAAGCTCCGCAGAGCTTGGAGTCCTAACTATAACCTCGTAAGTCCTGAACCCTCTCCGGAAGGAGAAGACATGATCAAGAACCAAAAGCCTCTGATTCATCGAGAAGGAATGTGTTGTAAACGAAGGATACACCATCGTGACTTTAACCGGACTTTTCACTCTCCCGCTTACGGTAAACCTCAGCCTCAAGATTCTACTGTAATTGATCGTTGTTTGTGGCATAGGATCGATGATCCTCGGACGAAGACTCGAGTATTGAGACTCCAAATACGACGGCGAAAAGGCTTCTAAAGACAGCTCCGTTGGGAAAAGCACACCGGTGAAATTGTAAAACGCGTGTGGGTTGCTTCCTCCCACGAGTACTCTCCCATCACGAAGCAACGTCGCGATTGAATGGTACATTCGTGGGATAGCGTTTGCGTTCTGAACTTCGAATCTTGAACCGACCGGTTTATCGGGATGATATAAATCAGGATTAAAAGCCGGTTCACGGCCAAGCTCCCAAGCAGCTGTACCTGAAGAACCACCGTTAATTAACAGAACATGTCCGTCAGGTAAAAGCGTCATGTCTCCCATAACTCTCGCTCTCGGCATCTTCTCAACGAGCCACTGAGGATTCGCGTCGTTGATGTTGATTCTCGCACACGTGTCTAGTGCTTTCACAAAGGTCTTCTTCCTAAAAGAGAGGTTGTACGATCCTTTCGGTGCACCTCCGCACACTAGAACCTCTAACACAAGGTTCTTGATCGGCAAGAGAACGGCTGAGCCAGTGCTCGGATAGCTTCTCGGATCGCCTTCAGGGATCTCCGGATAAGTTTTGACGACAGTGTTTGTGGCGTAATTGAGCAATATAGCTCTGTTGTTAGCGAATATAAACAAGTTACCATCGGTGTTGAGGAACACGTAAGGGTAAAGATTGTTTTCTTCTCCACGGTCATTGGTTTGGGACAAAAACGGTAAGCTGTAGAGATTTGGAGCGTTTGTTTTTGGGAAAAACTCGAAATTGAACTGACCTTGACCTCCGACTATGATCTGACGACCGTCTGGGAGGACATGGTTCGACGCGTACCATCTTCTTGCATTGAGTCCTTTGTCGATTTCTGTCCAGTCACAAGAACCGTCGTCGCAAGGAGCGAATAATCTAGTCTTACGTTCTCCGTCTCTGTCTCCTCCGGTTTGGAGGAGAGTGCCGTCGGGTGTGACTCCGCCTGAGGAGCACCAAGTGTTGGACTGGACGGTTAAGGGACGGATACTATTCAAGGCGACGTCGTACTCGACCGAGTGCGCTGTGCAGTCGGTTTTTGAGACGATGTCGTTTGGGCTGTTTCGGCAGGCTCCGTTAGGGAGAGAGATGTTGGAAGGACCAAAGTTGGTTCGGTCGTACATTATGACACGGTCGTTGTGGAGGAGCTGAGAGTGCATTGCTGAGATTCCGACGTTTGATAAGAGAAGCTTCCATGATCCTCCGGCGCCGGATGCTAAGTGGCACGAGAGGAGGAAGAAGAGAGCCAAGTATCGGAGATGATTGACGTCCGTGAAGATTTGGATTGTGGCTTTTGCAGCCATTTTTTTTTGTTTCTTGTGTTGGTTGTAATATTGACTATTGTCACGAGTTTTTTTTTTCTTTGTCTACTTTTCTTTTCTTGTTTGTGTGGTATATGTATAACTGTCCATGAGGGCACTTTATATATAGGTTTAGAGGGGAAAAATGAATATTAATGTAAATATATTAATAAATTATGATAATTAGGAAATGTAGCAATTATTATTAAAATTATCATGCCACTTTTTCGTTTTTTACTTATAGTCTTACTCTGTAATGGAAATTTTTACTTAAACAAGATGAACATAACAACTAGATGAAAAAAAGAAACATTTTTTGGTTTTAACAAGTCCCATGCGGATTCATTTAATTTGTGTCAAAGCCTGAAAAGTGATATTTTGCCATGTTTCATTTCTCTGTTTTTCTTAATTCCCAGTATTTCAATACTGAAAGTTATTTAATTAAAGTTGACTAAACTTATAAAAACCTGCGTAAAGTTTCCACAGTTCAAACTTATGTATTACCAGCTAGGTCAAATATTCCATTTTGTATTAATAAAACCGCGTTAGACAAAACTGTTATATGAAATTAAGATTCACTGAATCAAAAGCATAATTATTACTTAATAAACCTATGAGTTTTAGACATGTAAATGTAAAATTGGAATAGTTGGATCGGCACGATAGGGTTATCCCCAACGTTTTCAAAAAGGTTTCTTCTCTGATTTAAATTCCATATGCAACATTTTGTATAACTATTTACGAAGCCATATAAAGATTCCACCATCAAATATTATCACTTGCGAGAGGAATATATTTTAGTTATAGATGATTGTATATGTATATATTCACATCCATCAGTAAATAGTTAAGACCGAAGAGCATAAGCAAACAGTGATCTCATCTCAAGTAAAACAAATACTTAATACAGTATTTATTTCGGCTGAGTCAGTAACATTTTGGATACAATTAATTAGAATTATCAAGACGTGGTACCAACCTGAAATGAACTAATATTAAATGTTAATTGTCGTCGAAGGAACGGTTTCTATGATTGAATTGTTAACATTATACGTGAGGGGTTGAATAATTATAATATAATGTTATGTCAACATCAAACATTCCAATGATTAACATAATATATAATTAACCAATTAATAAGTCAATGTTCTGAATAATCTCCCAGGTGTAATTTTATTTTGATATTTTAACGAACTCTCCACCGTCACTAGAACAATTTCAATGAATCGTACATTATATAACAAAGTTTCTAATACACAAATACCACAACGTACGTATGACAAACAAATGCGTTGGGCGTGATTATAGAAATTAGAAAGTGTACCTTTTCAACTATAAGACCCGTGGTTTTATAAAATAAATATTTGATATTGAAAGAAGATTTTTATTCTCTGTCTCGTTGTTGGTCCAACTGTCCTTGATCAAGATAAATATTCAAAGCAGCAAAGAAGAGTTTTATAATAATCAAAGATCGCCAAAATGTATCTCTGAATAAATCAATATACTCGTCGAGAGAAAAAATTGTTTAATTAATGTTTTTTTTAACCCATTTGACAATTAGTGTATCGATCTAAAACATGTCCAAAAGCTGAGTTAAGTATATGTCTTTTGATCATATTACAAATACAAACTGTAAAGATATTAAGAATCTCTCCACTGGTATTACAGTTTATATGTTTTGTGCGTCCACATATATGTATCGAAGCGTATTGTTAACGTAACAGCTTACGTGTCAGATATCGTAGACTCACAAGTTTTTTTTTTTTTTTTTTAAATATAATATATGAGCATTCGAAAATCACCTTTGATATAAACAAATGGTTCCATTTAGCTAGTTTTAAAATTTGGTAGTATATACTATTTGATTTAATAATAATGTTTTCATTTTCTACAAATTTATTAAAATGTTATACTAATTATAAAAAAGTGACGATCGTGATTGCGAGTTGGACGAAGAAGATCAAATGATGCCAAGTTTAACAAAAAAAAAAAAAAGATCAAATGATGCCAAAAAGGGCAGACCAGAGAAATAGATAATGTAGCTCGATAGTCGATACCATAGTAATTAAAAATGAAACTTAGATATCACAGTAATTAATCAGAAAAAGCCAAATGTATAAGAAACATACTAGTTGGATCTCTTTTTATTTTTTTGTCATACTTAGCTAAGGTTTTACAAATGAAGTAAATACATAGGATAAAAAAATTAGAAGAAAAAAAAAAGATTTCAAGAGTCATGCAGAGAGATGAGGTATGGAACAAAAGGAATAATAAAGATTATGCATTTCTGTCTTTAATATTCATAATTAAAAAGCCGTCCACAAATTTTTTTGTTTCTCTCTTTTTCTTATTCTCTAATTCGTATATGAGCTGTATAATCTATATATATTTCATTTTTTTCTATATCCATCTATATACAAATTTATCGTATAATGAATTTGATGATAGTTTAGCCATGTGTGTGTTTGTGAATCTGTCCAAATAGTATCTTTTCAGGGAATGCATTCGTTTGATGGCTTAACATATTATATAGCAAAGAAATCCACGAAAGATTTGTAAATTAAGACAGAAAAGATTATACATTGTATGTGTATATTTATCCATCAAATTCAATGATTGACCTACCGTTGACAATTACATGACATTCATGAAACTATGAAAAGCCTCTCGTATATATATATATATATACATATGTTGACTCTCAAATGTTCATTGCTCTTTAGTTTTCTTGTTATTATTGACCGCAATATCTCAGTTTTATATAGACGTAAAAACGAATATCGATATTATGAAATCTAATGATTGAACGTCGCAGTTCCATGCACCAAAACTCTTTGCAAGCTGAGTCCCCTGATACATTCTTTTTTTTTTAAGTTGACATCGTGAATCTTATTATTTCCCTTATTATTTATTGAAAATTAGTTTTCGTTTTCAACACAACGAGGAAAAAATATGTATATCTTTAGACCGCCTGATCATTATATAACATTATCTGGAGTTTGTTTTTCTTGATTTCAAATGTTAATTTAAGTTAAGAACGTGACTTCAAGTCTTTAATGTGGAAAATAATGCATCAGTAGTCAAAATGTTAAAATATAGAACGATGATACATATTGATACAATAAAACTTTCCTGGTTAAGTATACACTAAGAGAGTAAAATATTATTTTGTGTTTCCAAAAGAGAGAGAGAAGAAAACTAAACTAGGTTGTGAAAACGTTTTCCTTAATTTAAGTTCTCTTAAATTTAAAAGACAACGAAATGCCTACTATATACCAAAATAATTGGTTAAGGGAAATAATAACCAATTCCTATGCACGTAGAGTTGCAAATGACCAAACTATGTACTTTCTAATATTTTGGATCGTCCATCTATCTTTTTTTTGTAAAGCTTTCTCGATGAATCTTTTGGCCTTAATGTGGTACAACATCAAGTCAGCAACATGTTCATGTAGTAGTCACGTACGTCTATCAAAACTAGAATCGCACATCTTCGTATGAAACTTGGAGGTTGTTCTAAGCCCACTTTGGGCCTTAGGCCTCTCATCTAAGCCCAATCAAGCAATTTTTAGTTATTTTAGTTTTTAACTCCCGTGAAAGATTAATTTCTCTCTCTCGCCCTTACAAACAAATAATAATTTGTGAAGAGATCTCATCAGAGCTACAATCATTTAACGAAGAGCCATGGCTTCAAGTTTTAGTGGCGATGAAACTGCTCCTTTCTTTGGGTTCCTCGGCGCTGCCGCCGCGCTCGTTTTCTCCTGTAAGAATCAGATCCTTCTCTCTCTCTCTTTGTCAATTTCACTAAATTGAATCACCCGTGGTTTTTGATCCGATTCGAAATCCAATCCGATACGATTTTGATGTTTCAGGTATGGGAGCAGCGTACGGGACGGCAAAGAGCGGCGTCGGAGTTGCGTCGATGGGAGTGATGAGACCTGAACTTGTTATGAAATCGATTGTGCCTGTGGTTATGGCTGGTGTGTTAGGTATTTATGGTCTCATCATCGCTGTCATCATCAGTACTGGGATTAACCCCAAGGCCAAGTCTTATTACCTTTTCGATGGCTATGCTCATCTCTCCTCTGGGCTAGCTTGTGGTCTCGCTGGTCTCTCTGCTGGTATGGCTATTGGAATTGTTGGCGATGCTGGTGTTAGGTAACAACTCAATCTCTTCAATTTCACGTGTAATTGCTTCTTCTGCATTTCCATCTTAAACTGTTCGATTTACGTGTTTACAAGTTTATGAGATAGTCTTAGGCAGGCTTGCTTTTGCTTGCTTTAACCGTTTGTTGTTTTACATCATAGAATAGGAAGGATAACTGAACTTCTTATGAAGTCTTGTTCCGTGATCGATCAATGGCTTGTTTACCCTTTTAGCTAGGAATTGTAGTTTTTTTTATGAATGGAACTGAAAGGAAGAGAATATCTTTGGTTGATAGTTTAGCTAGGACACATTTTTGTAATTTGTAAGACAGCTCTTGTGGACTAGAAATAGAGATTAGAGAGAAAAGTAAACATTTTTTGACCATTTGGTTTGTGAATACCTTTTGGCTCTAGCGGAGTTAGTAGTGCTTTACAACAGTTAGTTAGGGTTCTTTCTTGATTGTAAGCTGATTCAAAGATAAGATATACAGTTCCGTTACTTGACAATACTCATCCCAGTGAAAGTTCTTTATGATCTGATCTCATAAATTTATTTGACATTAGATGTGATGTTGGTTAAGAACTGCCTGGGTTGAATCTTTCAAGGAGTTTTGGGTAAATTTATCTAGTTAATATCAACAGTCTGCTAAACATAGGCGCTGCACCTGATGCTTCGTTAATTCAGAACTCTGTTTTGTTAAATTTCATGCATGTTATATTTTGCAGAGCAAATGCGCAACAACCAAAGCTCTTTGTGGGAATGATCTTGATTCTCATCTTTGCGGAAGCGCTTGCACTGTATGGTCTCATTGTCGGTATCATCCTCTCATCCCGAGCTGGTCAGTCTAGAGCTGAGTGAAAGCAGCAGAGACTTATTATTATTATCATTCCGCATATAGTCTTATGGTGAGTTTAATGTAATGTAATGTGTCGCTTCTCCTTTCAATTCCTTTTTTTCTTTCTCTGCATCAGAGTTGGGTTATTATTGGAAACGAGTTACTTGTATGAAAATTAAATCATATGACGTTGTACCAAAAACATTGATTTTTTCTTTTGCATCACAAATGCTTCAATTAAGTAATTGACTAGCACTAGCAATTAACATATACAGTATTTGTCTCTCTCAAAACTAATCAGCAATGATGTTGCTAAAAATTACTCAGCAAATGATTGTAGTAGCCTAAAACTCTAATAATCAGTCCATGTTCTTCTGAGTGTATGAGATTTTTAAATTTTGCTACATGAAACCTTGCCATTAACCGAGGAGTATATCGAACAAATTACGGATTCCCTCTGTAAATAATTATCTTACCATTTCGCTTCATATTTGTATATAAAATTTTGCATCGAACAACTATTTATAGTGCTATTATCCTAGTTATCATTAAGCGTCCAAGAATTACTACACAACTTTTTTTTGAATATATTAGTTAGGTTAGCTCATAAACAACGTATATAGGTTTCCGAATTCCTTAAGAGATAAGAGCAACATTATTGGTTAGATCTTAGCTAGATCTTAGATCTTTTCCTTCACATATCTTAGTCTAAGATCTAGCTAAAATCTAACCAATAATGTTGGTCTAAGAGGGAAGGTCCTCTTAAGAAAGTAATGATGGTGCATAAAATAATGGCAGTGGGTGCAAGAGAGAGCATTGCCAACACAAGCACAGTCAAAATTGTCATGACTCGTTATAAAGACAGCAGCAAAGAGAGAGAGGGCTCTGACATTTAATAATCCGATGAGTCGTTGTCCGCACAACCAAACATTCATTAAACTCTCTCACACAAATTTACAACTCCATTGCATTTATTCTCCTTCCCCTTCTTGATTACACCAATTATCTTCTTCACGACTACCATTCTTGTTTTAATTATCTTCATGAACAACGTATTTTCGGAAAATGTCATGGAAAAATAAATGTTATCTTCACGACTCTATATGCTTGATTTAATACATAAAGAGTTTTTTTTTTTTTTTTTTTTTTTATAACATGAGAAGGGTATAGAGTTCCTGAAATATATTCCTTGTAGAAGGAATCCAAAGACTGTAAGGCGGAGTTATCCATTGATTACACACACCTACCAAACATTAGAAGTTAAATAAATGAAAGAGAAGTAATGAGTTAACAAGCCAAAAGAAAAGAAATAAAAATGTACACTGGCTATGAACAGTGTAAAAGTCCGACGTCGCTTGAGGTTTCAGACAATATAGGCTCTGTTTTAAAAAAGCTTTTCGTCATCTGACGGCTTAACTTCGCTTTTCCCCAAACACAAGAATCCAAGCAACGGCTACTTTCATCTCACTAGGGAGACAACCACGTGTCACACACCCACTTGTCCAAACGTATTTGGCGCGAACTAAAACAGAACGAAGACACTGTGGAGGCCCCCACTTCTTCTCCTAACCCACTGACCAAATCACGGAAGACTGTCGGAAGAATACGCAATGCCCTTACCAAACGGCGCCGTAGGGTCGAGTTCAACACATTAATTTAGGTCTACTTGACTTACTACTACTAATCATATCTTGGACACTCACGTCATAACTAATTTTATATTGATATAATTTTCAGGAACATGAATTTTATTGAGGAAAACTTTTCAATATTAACACAAGAGATGACACATTGAACTGATTGACATGTCACTCTCTCGTTCCGTCGTGGAAAATTCATAGCTTTGACGACTTGAAACTAGATTGTGGTACCCGTGACATGTACAACACAAGAACAGTCACGGATCAATAAAAGTCAACATTAAAAAAAGAAAATGAATTATCCACAAAGGCAAAGAAATACAAATTAAATGATTAGAAAAAAAAATAAAAAAGCGATTTCAAGATGCGGCGGTGGCGGCGGCTGGAGGAGAAGTAGGTGAAGTAGGATCGGCGGACAAGGAAATCGCCGGACCGACTCTACACCCTTCGAGCATGAACACTACATCAGCCATTGACGGACGATCAACGACGTCTCCTCCGGTACACAACAACCCAACTTTGATCCCTAACAAGAACTCTTCCCACTCTGAACTTTCCGGGTCAAGCTCCAACAGACCCGGTTCAAGCAACTCCACGATTTGACCCTTTTGTAACTGTCTCTTTACCCATTTCACTATATCTTCATCCTCCGTGAACATCACTGCTTTTTTCCCCGTTAAGATCTCTAACAACACGATTCCGAAGCTGTACACGTCGCTCTCTTTACTTGTTTCCCCCGTTAATCCTGCTTCCGGTGCAATGTAGCCTAAAGACCCGACCGGAGTGGATGATGTTGACGGTTCTTCAGCCGGGGTCAATGCAGTCAATCTATCTAACCCGAACTCTGACAAATGTGCTTCGAAATCTGCGTCGAAGAGGACGTTTTGCGGTTTTAAATCGCCGTGAATGATTGTTAAAGAATGCAAGAAGGAGAGTCCTCTAGCGATTCCGAGGGCGATGAGATGACGCATTGGCCAGTTCAACACGTGTCCGTCTTGGTGTGATGCTTCTTGCAAAAGCGTGGACAGGTTTCCGTTGGGCATGTAGTCGTAAACAAGAAGTCTTAGATCGGGTGGTCCGCAGTAATAGCCTCTCAAGACCGTGATGTTCTTGTGCTTCACTCTACCTAAAGCCTCAGCTTGGTTACGGAACGTTGCGTCTGTTATCGAAGCACCGTCCATGAGTCTCCGAACCGATAGAACCATCCCGTCTCTAAACGTTGCCTTGAAAACCAACCCGTACCTTCCTCGACTCAATACGTTTTCTTCGTCGAATTGTCTCGTGGCTTCTAAAGTTTCAGCTAATGTGATCTTGTTGTTGAACATCACAAGTTTAGGTCCACCATTATTGTCTTCTCCTCTTGTCCCACCAGAACTAGCTCGGGATGTACGTGATGGTGTCCCTTTCTTGTCCCGACTTAAGCCCAATCTTAGTTTGTTACGCCATTTCCATAAACTGAACACATAACCACAACAACAGAGTAACAACAACAAAGCTCCAGCCACTGCTAGTGTCACTAGTATGATTAGCTTTCTCCTTCTTCTTCTCCGAACGTTTGAACATTCTACACGGAGCGGTTTGCCGCAGAGTCTCGGGTTATTGACAAAGCTGGACGGATTAGGAAAATGGGCAGCTAGAGCTGTCGGAATCTCCCCTTGTAAGCTGTTTCTTGATACGTTGAAGTAGCTCAGGGAATGAAGTCGAGAAAGACTAGATGGTATAGTCGAATTCAATCTGTTCGAAGAAAGATCCAACGCTGTTAGATTCACCAATCTTGATAAAGATTCCGGTATTCGACCCAATAAAGAATTCGAATTAAGTAGGAGAGATTCCAGAGACAAATCCTTAGAAATCTGATCAGGAATAGTCCCTGTCAAACTGTTGTGACTCAAATCAAGCTTCTTCAAACGAGACAATCTTGAAACATAAACCGGAATGTGACCCTTTAACCGGTTCCAACTGAGCTCAAGAACCTCAAGACTGGAGCAATTCCCAATCTCCGGCGGGATTGAACTAGAGATACGATTGTGAGACAGGGAAAGCACTTGTAACGACTTGAGAAATCCATAGGTGGAAGGGATATGTCCGGTAAATGAATTGGAACTTAGATTTAAGAACCGAAGACTAACCAAACTGCTAAAACCTTCCGGTACGACGCCGTCGAACGCGTTGCTTCCAAGAGCAGCCACTCGAAGATCCGGTAAACCAAATAGTTCGACTGGTAACTGACCGGATAGTCTCTGTTTACTTAAATCCAAGACCCGAAGCTTCATTAATCCGCTAACGCTAACCGGAATCCGACCCGTCAACCCGCATCCACTTAGGTTTAAAACACTCAAGCTCTTTAAATCACCCACATTGGCCGGAATTTCACCGGAAAATCTGTTGAAGCTGAGACTGAGGATACTGAGATTAGCTAGCTTCGTTATCTCCGACGGTATTGCTCCGGAGAGATGATTCTCGTTGAGAGTAAACGTTTCGAGTCCGTGTAACGTAAGAAGATCCGATGGAATCCGACCCGAGAACCCGTTTCTTCCGAGAGATATTGTTGTCAGGCTCCGTAACTGACTTAAAAAACCCGGAATCTGACCCGAGAACTTGTTTCCTTCGAAATCAACGACTCGCAGCGATCTGCAGTTTCCGATACTCGTCGGGATTTCACCAACGAAGGAATTGTTAGCTACTCTCAGCTCTTGAAGCGCCTCAAAGTTCCCAACTTTAGCCGGGAAACCGCCGGAGAACCCGTTACCAGATATATCCAAAACAACTAAAGAGGTCAAGTCAGTCAACCACGCGGGAAAATCGCCACTAATGCGATTCTCGTGAATGTCGAGAATCTCCAAATTAGGGTTCACGCAAGACGACGGCTTAGCTAATCCCGTGAAGTTATTAACTCCTAATTGAATGATTCGCATGGACGAATTGTAACCGTATGAGCCACAGAGAAGACTCGCCGGAACTGTTCCGGTAAGTGAGTTTTCCGATAATGAAATCACCTGGAGGCTTGGGATCTTCCCGAAAGTCGCCGGGATTAGACCGGTGAGGGAGTTTCCGGTTACGCTGAAGTGAATAAGCGACGAACAGTTGGATAATGCAGATGGTATTGTACCTTGTAACTGGTTTGAGTCTAGCCATAGATACTCCAGGTCTTGTAGTTGTCCCAATGTCGCCGGGATCTCACCGGAGAAACGGTTGAACGAGAGGTTGATGAGCTGGAGAGATGATTTCGCCGAGAAATTCGCCGGAATGTCACCGGATATTGCATTGGAAGACAAATCGACGTAACGGAGGCTCTTTGAGACTGTGACGCCGGAGATATCCCCGGTGAGTGAGTTATGAGCAGCGTTGAGGACTTGGAGATTCCTAAGATTCAATATCTCCGGTGGGAAGTCGCCGGAGAAGGAGTTGTAGTGGAGATAAAGCGCTCTAAGGAAGACGCAACGAGAGAGAGAAGAAGGGACGGCGCCGTTTATGTCGTTGGAGTGAAGACTGAGTTTGCGGAGCTGAGTCAACTCACCGAGTCGAGGACTGAGGTAGCCTGCAAGGCGGAGACGAGGAAGACGAAGCTCTCGTACACGGCCGGAGAAGCAAGAAACGCCGTGCCAGT